CCCGACTTCTTGTGGATTGGCTGAACGGTCCGTATGGTACTGTTCATAATGAAATAGTACCTATTTGGAGCGAAAATACGACACTGTACTTCTTTTATTCGGTTTGGTGCCAGGAATTTGAAACTTATGGGGATTCATTAGGAGCAAATCGATTATTCAGGGCGTATCCACGCTTTTCCAGCATTTTATTTCCTTAATGTTCAAATAGACCATCTTGCATCCCTCTAGTTATAAGTGTTTCATTTCTGGGAGCCATTGGCAATATTGTCATTTAATGCAGTCAAAAGGGTATCTCATCATGATCTATCGCGATCTATACACCAACCCATAAATAAAAAACCTACTCAACCTCCCCAGCCTCCCAAACACACCTATCACACAAACAAGTCCCACCCAAAGCCCCAGAAGCCCACTCCCTCCTCTTCTGAACCGGCAACCCAATATCACAATAATGATTCAGGATCTCCGAGTCCTTCGCAATACCCCCAGGCCTAAGCTCCTTCATCTCAAGCCCACGCGACCAAACAGCCGTCTCATCATCTCTGCGCGCGCGGAAATTAATCTCGCTACTCCATTCCCAGGTCACATTAGGATCACACGAATGGTTCGCAAGACACCACAGCGGATGAACAGCGCACAGCTCCGGGCCTCCATCCCAAGTCGACAACCGACCTGACGCTGTACCGCGGAACTTAGCAAAGAGCGTATTGAGAACCCATGTATCGTAGCGGTAGAGCACGGCATAGGGATCCAGACCCATCTCATCGAGGAAACGCTCCGGCTGCAGGACATTGAGCTGGAAGGAGAAGGGGAGAGTGGCGGTATCGTCCGTGGTAGGAGTTGTCTCTGCTTCCGCGGAGATAGACTCAATATCGAGATCGTGGAAATCGCCCCAGATGTATTTCACTTCAGGCAGCTCGAGCGCGTGCTTGTCCTGTGTAGCGGACATCGCGAGCGCCCTGCCAAGTAGAAGAAGGTACAGGTAATCAGCCTTATCCTTGGGGTCGGGGACATCCTTCCCGATGGAGTCGAGGCCGTCCTCGAGACCGCAGATCGCGCCGTGGTACACCTCCTGCGCTGTGTCGTGGCATTTCTGGCTGCAGAAGATGATGTCTACGCAGCCGCCCTCACAGGCGACCGGAGGCTCGGCAGCGGAGAGTTCTGGGAGCGGTGCGTTGCATGCATCACAGAGGTCGTCGTGGAGACGGTTTGTTGCTGTGAGGAGTGAAGACTCGCGGAGGATGATCTCGTCTGGGGCGATATCTTCTTTCGCGAAGAGGCCGAGCTGCACGGAGACGTCCATGCTGGACGAGTTGTCGTCTGCTGAGGCATGCAGCACTGGCAAGGCCACTGCGCGGACCTCGCACTTCGGCGCGATGACCGCCAGTCGCTCGTTGAGCATGTTGAGGGTTTCCGGTGAACGGCGGTCAGGCTCGTGCTCGTTCCAGGGATAGAGGACACGGCGGGCGAAGCCCTGTGCAGGGAGGACACTGGGGTCAATTGAGTTCAGGTCGATGGTTTCGGTTTCTGAGCCAGAGCGAGATTTGTATATTTGCTTCACGCGATCCATCTGCACATTCAAAGCAGCTACTGACGCTGTTGCAGATCTATTTTCGAGTAGGGCTAGCCCGCGCACGCCGAACTCGAATGCATCGCGGTAGCAGCCGCAGCGGACGAGACTGCGTACTAGAAGGACGTACACCTGGTCAATGATGGCATCATATTCCTCTTGGGTGATTGGCACAGTGTTGTCGTCTTCATCTTCGTCTTCGTCTTCATCATCTGATTCATTTGCCGCTTTCTCGGGAGCCTGCTGAGAAGGGTCTATCTTCCGCCTAGCATGGAACTCGCATTCATCTGGTTCCACCACCGACTCTAGGAGTGCCAGCGCGCGGTACGCATCTGCAGAGGCAAGATCGGGGAAGCCTAGCTTTTCATACTGAATGCCTCGTTCAAGGTGGAGGTGGGGGTTGTGAGGGTCTGCATAGAGCCTGGTGGTTGTCTCGTTGCGAGCTTGGAGTACTTGTGATGCAGACATGATGTAATGTGTTTACTCTTCTTGTTTCCAAAAATGTAACAGCTTTTTATACACAGTTTGGTTTTCGACAGCCAACAATGCAGTATAGAATCGATATCAAACTGTGATATCAGGCTGAGAGGTTTGGGGTAAAGAGGTAGCAGGTTATAGACTTCAGCGGCTGGACCTATAGCATTGACACAATATCAAATGATCTTTGACTTTATAAATGAAGTTTGTGGTCTGCCCCTCTGTAGATCGACGATATTCGTGCGGGCAAGTTCTTTTTTATCGCAAAAAAATTCTACGATAAGGACGGTCACGTGAATTTATACTTCTCTCCAATGGAGGTTGTTCTAACTTCTCAGAACTAGTATCCTTGATGAAAGATTAAAATCCCCCCAATCATGTCTAAAAGCAATATAAACAAGATGATAATGACACCTTAGATAGTATAGTTGGCGTTTTAGAGTGAGGAAATTTTTTTGAACAATGCAGCGGAGTCTCGGTAGAAAGCTGCTTCTACTAAGTTTTCTTGTAAGTTAGGGGCAGACCATGCCATCATTATCTATGTCCTGGATATATCGATTATTGGCTACAGAAATTATGGGTATAGCAAGACATTTGAATATCATTATTATTATACTGGGCCATCGAATATCTCGATCTCCACAAGCTCATCAGCAATATCACAACCAGATACACAACCTTAGACGCTAGTGTCCTGAGCATTGACTGACAGCCAATATCTTCCCAAGTTGGTATTTGTTGTACCATCCTTGCAATGTAGTATTATAGGTTGAGATATGTGATGATGAAAGGAAACGAAGGAAACGACACCGTAGGCGATTTTCAGAAAGAAATCTCATTTCTGCCGATAGAGGCCTGATGGAATTATTAGCTGATAGATTTGGAACCTAGGTTCATTAATGATACTGACATTGTCTTTGATAAGACTATCCTTCACGATCCTGTATCGATATAGTAGGCGAAATCAAAAAGAAAAAAGACTTCGTTCACTTCCGAGTACGGATCTAGCCAGCAATACCGCCAGTGTCTGCAATTTACAGATGTAGGGTACACATCTCGCTATGCAAGATGACGGAAGGGCAGTCAAGAGTCCATCTGCCATGGGGTCCACGGTCCACGGGTATACCCTTGCGTGGGAGGAGTTTGGCCACCTGCTCCCAGTTGTTGGGGATAGCATTCACATGGAGCTTCGAATGGAAGCGTGTTTGCTGGTGCATAGTTTCAGTAATCCCTTTGTCTGAGTTGGCAGATAGCATCATGAGTGGTTTGTGGCAAAGCTGGTTGCCGTCGGAGAAGACCCTGTTATATTTTGCTGCGTACCCCTGGGAGTTTGGTAGCATTCCCTTCTTCTGATGTTTTTTTTCTGGACGTTTGTCCTTTCTAGCTCGGAATATGGCTGGTATTTTATAGACCATTTCTCTTGTTATGCACCCTGCCCACCAGGACGTACCCAAGGTACTTTGAGTTCTCCAAACACTGTCGTATACCCCTGCCATGTGAACAACGTATCCATCATGTGCGCTTTAATCTCGACAAAGTATATGCCGATGAAGTATAGCCGGGGATATTACTGCATAGAAAAAGAGTTAGCCAGTTTTCTTGAAATGGAAGGGATATTCTTACGGTTGGGACGGTCCGAGAGACTCATGTTCACGGGATCTTCGTCAATGACCGCTCAGATGACTTTGGATTTCCTTTTTATATAGCGCCGAGGATATCCACTTTGCTCCAAGGCTTGTGGTTCGAAAATCTTAGCTCTTCAAGAACCCCCAGCATCGTCAGTGTCGTTTGGTCTGTGGATTAAATATTGCAATTGGAGCTTTCGATCATCGCTGTTCGTAGGTAATCTCGAAATGGGGAATCACCCGAGCTAGTCATGGGCTTCTTCATAGGATCAAGCTTCTGTGGCTTTTTGGTGTGAAGTTTTGTTGGTTTCTGGCGACTCCTTGAAGCACGAAAAATAAGCCTCATATCAGTGGCAGCCTCTTCAGCTTGTTCAGATCGTCCTCCATTTTTGAGTCCTTTGTAGTATGTCTGGTGTATTTTTAGTGCTCAAATGTCACTTCTTCCAACATTGAATCCATACCCCAGCAGGTTTCTTTGCCGTTTGGGCACAACAAGTGGATATTGGAGGAGCGAGAGGGTAACGGTTGGAGGCAGATCTGCGCTCTCGATTCGTTCTGCAAGGCGCTCTTCTGCCTTTCCGGATCAACATTTGTTCTTCACTAGATCCGTACAAGGCAGCGAAAATACCCTAGATCGGTCTTTGGTGCAATGGTTTCCGATAGGGATGTGTTTGTTGAGTTGACAGAAATATCCGAAACTGCACTGACGGAGCGCTGGGGATGACGCAAGACCCAGGTTGGCGACGAAGGCACATTTGTTGCATCCCACGCTTATCTACCCACAGTGACGGTTGGTGGCGTGCGGTTTGATTTGACGATGGCCATTTTGCATCTATCTCGCGAGATCAAGCCATAGATCTATGTCTCGGACATAGCGACTTCCAAAACCACCCTCTTGTCGGATAGTCACGAAGGCCTCCTCTTGGGCCCCACCCCCAATCTGCATCGAATGCAAGAATTCCTGGAGAGTTGCATAGAGGATTTCCTATCATCAGGTATATTGGGAAAATAGAATGGTTTGTTTGAGTGGTGCTGACAAGAGACGTGTGCAATGTTTATATAGAAAACGCTGGGTTTTCTTGGTTGTTGGGGTGATGGTAGATATTACCTAGGTAAGCCTTGTTTGGCTTTAGGTAAGGTACTTAAAATATATAGAGGAAGGGCAGGTGCAACCCCGAAAGAAAGAATAATTGAATCAAGCAAAAGAACGCCTTCTTGCATTAGACACTAATGCGATGCTATAACAATAAATGTATGGGGTTATGGAAAACTGATGATCTTTTTCACACTGTGCAATGCAGATATCCGGAGTTCTGCCTGTTCATCCATTACATCACCTATTGAACGATTAGTATCATTTACACAATAAGAACTCTAGACGTACCGAGCAATTATCATCGATGATAACAGTCCGGTGTTCACCATCACCAGCAATATCATCAATTCCAACCCCGAGGCCGCCATGTTGGTCCCTCAAGTTAGCAGCCAGGCGCTCGAGCATACTCCGCTTTACGTGCAAGTCAGCAAATAGGTCTATATAAAGCCCCAGGACAGGTAATGTACAGTGATATGTGCCTCACTCACGCCACCACGACGGTCAACATCGTTTTGGCTCATGATGCGGTAGCTTTCATGAACTCGTTTCCGGCTTTCGAGACCTCCGATGCTAGAGATGTTTTGTCCAAGCTTGTTGGATGGATTATCGGGGTCGAGGATGTTCACACCATTACGCGCATCATCTTGAGCGTTCTGGTCTGGCGAAAAGATTTTGATGGTGTTATCGATTCCTGAAGCGGCAATCATTGGTTCATAGGGGTGGCCTAAATCACAATGTTAACTCTTGTCTTTCTAACCAGAAAATGAAATTACCTTGAACAACATTGACAACCTCGCCATCGCCTTCTAGGATGTTCACCAGATTTGACGTCTTGCGGTCCCAGATAAATATATTGCCAGAATCACAGCCGCTGACCACATACTCATCATCAAGTCCGAAATAGTTGACATCCTTGACAGTCTTGACGTTACAATGGCCGCGATAGCTTCGCATATGAGGTACACATGGAGCATGGCGCTCGACATCACGTCGCGCCTTTCGAATGGCATATCTCCGGGGCATATCGTCATCGGAATCAAACCTATCGCCCTCTTCATCCGAAGATGAATCCATGGGCCAGCCATCGAGATCTTCATCGTCAGTTGACTCCTCTGCCCGGCTGCCATCGCTCCCATCCCCGCCCGTATCGACGTCACTATTGTCCGAAGAATTTGCATCGCCTTGGGGGCTTTCAGGTCGAGGATCATTCCGCCTGGAAACAGAACCGCCAGCCCCGATGAGTCCGATGTGTTGGATTCGTTCTTCCTCCACATTGGGATCGATATCATCCTGGACTCTCTCTTCATCCGAATCACTCTCAGACTCGTTCATTGTGGTGTGAAGCCCGCCGAAAGCATTGTTGACAAATCTGTAATTTACTTCACTGCCTACCTCCATCAAGATTCCTCTGCCTACGCGCAAAATCCAGAACCTCTTCGTAGAGGCACGGTCAAGAGAGCGGATTTGTGAGGCGGGATTAGAAACACGGCGCCTGTCGAACCGAGCAGCTGAGCCCCCGAGATCCTCCAAGGGCAATTTGACAGCATTCGCAAATGCAGTCACGGCAGCCCGTTGGGTTGGGAACAGAATGCGCGTACTGTCATGCTCAAATCTGGAAGCATCCACATTCACGATCGGAGTGTCATGCGCCAATTCCATAATATAGGGCACTAGGATGGTTTCGATAGCATCCTCGTCGGATTCATCTGGGATCGGGTATCGGCCATGTAATCGTCGAGGGGCATTGCGGCGTTTAAATCCTTCTAGAAGTCGATGCCTGCCGCCCTGCAGCCATAGAAGAATTGCTCGGAGGAAGTCATAGCCAAACTGAGCTGCTGGGTCAATGGGGTCATCTTCGCCCGGCGCAGGCTTGATCATCTGGAAATTTGAATCTTCCAGAACTTGCGTTTGATCTGCCAACGCATGAGAAAGTGTGCCAGCAGCTTGGACAAATCTCCATGCCGATTGGCGATTGCGACGAAGTGCTTGCTGGAAATTAACAGTCTCGTGTGATGGGTTCATGGGATAACTCCATTCGCGCATGACCTCGCCCATTTGTGGGAGAAACGTAGACGCAATTTCCAGCGCGGATGAAAAACATATCGAGTACGATTCGGGTCCCACGTCGTCAGACCCTGCGGCCTCCCGGACTGTCGTTTCTGAAAACAAAGTCTTTCGAAGTCTTACTAACCCTTTTGCGATCTGCATGCTTAATCGCTGGGCATCATTCAGCACAGAATACCGAGCCTGCTCGAGCAAATTCTCGGGGTTGGTGTCCAGGACACTATCCGAGAATGGGGGGAATGGAACATTTTCTGCTTCGCCATTCTCATATTGGATCCTAAAAGTATCTGGCTCTGCTGAACGACGATGGGACTGATGTCGATCACCACTTTCCTCAGATGAAGGCGTGGCGGGCTTCTTGCGCTTCCGGCTCCGTGAACTGCGGCGAGCCTGCCTATTCTTGCCCTTGAGGGTCGATTTATTCCCCGTCTGTGTCTCCCGGGCATCTGGGCTGCGGACTAAATCAAAACTGTAGATGTGATCCCCAGACCAGCTAACAACCATCTCATTGGGATTTGCATCACTAATTTTACAAGCAGTGATATGTCCATCGTCAGCATGTTTCGCATGGTGCTTGCCGCCCGGTGCGAATCTTCGCACGCATCGCGTCGCCTTGCTCATTTCCTCATCATCATTGAGACTGGCAGCGCTTGGTGTAGCCCTTCCCCTTGCAGCGGAGGTGTCCTGGCCAAGCATCCGTCTGTCATGCAAAAAGCAGTAGAGGTGGGCACCACCCAAGGCAATATAATGCGGCTGACTTGGTGAACAGGAAATGGTATTGAGGTCCAGATGGTATGGCTTGTAGGATATTAGAGGGGGCGGAACATTGGAGTCATCACTGTCTAACCCTTGTCGGTATGCCATGAAGCCCTGACCACCCCGTGGAGGAGGGTATGCACTAGACGGTAGCCGCAGGTCCCACTGGCGAACGTCACCATCCTCAGAGCAAGTGAGAAATAGGAACGGGGAAGATTCGGTGACGATGCGCTTTACACTATCGGTGTGGCTTCGATACAATCTAGCGTTGGTATTGCCGTCACTCAGATACCGCGTGCCACTGAAGAACTCGTTGAAGCGCCGACTCCGAGTGGAGGCTGCAAATGCGGAGGTTGCAGCCTCATTTCTGCTCCCAGTTGAGTATTCGATATCGAAAACGCGAACCTGCGAGTCGCCGGCGCATGTAACCAGAGTCCCATCATTCGAGTGTGGCATGAACTTGACGGAGAAGATGTTGGCTTTGTGCCCGGTGAAAACGGTGGTGTTGAGCGCGAATGGAGAATTGGAGGAGTCAGGTTGGTAGGAGTAGATATTGAGGTGCTTATCATCAGAGCCTGACGCCAAAAGACGCCCTGACTTCGACCAACTGCGATACCGTTAGCATGATAAGCGTCAGAAATGGCGGAAGTGTTGGCCAGTCGATAAAAACCAAGTGCCTCGGCCTAAGTAAAAGCTGTAAACATACCTGAGGGCATTGACACATCCAGTATGCCCACCGAGTTCATTCACAATGTCGAGATCATTGACCCATTCCTTGGATCCGTAAATTCCCCGAAGGCCAGCATGCCGCGCCTGTTCCCCGCATTCCCGGCGCCAAAGGCGATCGTAGAGCGAGTTTTTCATGATCACTGGACCAGATGGGCTAGAAAGCTGAAATTCTTTGCTAGGTACGATCGGCGATCATCTCGAAAGGTACTGAGCAAGTGGATACCGTCTCTTTGCGGGTGACTTTAGCTGTCAAAACGGAAGCTGCCGTGGATGACGTCAAGAAGAGAACTCAGAGATGAGTTTTCTAAGGTTACATTACCCCGTATGAAACAGCTCATTAGATACTTGTATGGTGTACAAAGCGATAATAGACTGAGAAAGACATGAATAAAGTAGGTATGAGGGGAAAACGAGCGGGTTCGCAATACTCCAAGATCTAGATCACCCCGGAGGTCAGGTTGAGATGACGCTGGATGACTCATCCAGTGACCGCAAATTAGGTACCGCACAAGCTTACGGGTAGCTGCAAGGTACTTGTGGCAAAGTACCACCACTCATATCTCGTATCCATTCATGCTCTTTGTATTATTTTCATTTCCCTTTCATTTCTACATAATATTTGCACTTTTGTACAGGTGGTTGAAAACTAGCTTTGGGTATTCGTATACGCACACAAAAAGATATAAACCGCAGACTAGCTTCTCCATGCCCCGATCCGGGGAGCCCTCGTTTCATTTCTAGAGCTTACCAGCTGCGTTGCAAGAAGACTGACAGAATCCCTTTCTGAACGCACCACTTCTGCCTCCAATGCTTGCATGGCACGAATCTCCTGCGTCATGAGTTGTATCAATTCAGCCAGATTCCTGGCTACTCTAGCAAGAGCAGACTGTTCGAGATGCTCCACTTGCCCGAAGCCCAGGATATCAAGGACTTGCAATTGGCGTACACAGAGTTCGAGCCTCACATTTAAAGTACGTAATGATTCTTTCCAGCTTCGCCCCAGGGGGTCAATAAAGACGCCGACATCAAGGCATCCTGGTCCACGTTTGTGGCGAATAAGCTCCGCTTGGTTAAGCCAGTCTTCAAAGGTCTTCACAGCCTGAGAGTACTGTGCACTCCGGCCAGCAATCATATCCGAGACATCTTGTAGGACCTGTGATAGAATTTGAATCTGCTCGGAGAAATCATGCGGACCGCGATGTTCGCGACAATTAGAAAGCCAGAGCCCTAGGGCCTGCGCATTCAGGCGACACTGTCGCTGCGTTTCATCTGCCAACACCAAGCGGTATTGGCTAGCGACACTATCGTACTTCTTGCGCAGTCGTGTCTCGGAATCAGACTTCCACTCGGCATGGCTTTGCAGTGAGTTGGAATGGAAAAGACTGAGCTGAAGGAGTTCTGTTTGTAGTGCTGCAATATCCGGCCATGATGAAGAGATCAGCATATTCCCAGGCTGGGGTTGGGCTCCAGGGGTAGGCGTTGGAGGTTTGGAAAATTTCTTAGGGGACGACGGCCGTTGGTAGGATGAGAGTGCTCGTGCACGTTGGCCGATTGCTGGGGTTGTTTCGGCTTGTTTTGTATTCTGTACCATTTGACTCCTGTGCCGCATATGGATTTTGGCTGCGGCCGGTGGTCCCTTGCTGGCGCTGACAGGTTGCCTTAAAGAGAGGGAGCGTGTGGAGCGCGGTGGGGGTAGCATCTCTGTTTTCTTGGGCGAAGGAGGTCTTCTGACTGTAGGAGGTTGTACCGGGGATCGCATTCCTGGCGGTTTGCGGGGTGAGGGTGGCGCGAATGATGGCGCTGAGCTCTTTGACGAAGGGGCTGTAATCTTCGCTGAAGGTATCTTTAACGCACCAGGTCGCATGATGCTCTGACGACGGCCGGGTGCTACCCCGGTCTTCATTGATGCAGTGTCCGACTGGGTTTGCTTTTTAGCCGGTGATACCTCTCGCTGTCTAGTTGGTGACGGGTCCCCGCGTGTTTTCGGCTTGCTGCTAGGTGGCTGAATACGCCCATATCCCGTTCCACGACCATTTTCTTGGGCAGCATTACTGCGCTGGGGGAGCAGGGTTCTTCCTCGGGCAGTGAGTCCATTGTCTTTCGGAGGCACACCCTCGACCGGCGAGGGATTTGATGGCGAGCGGGTCTTGTTATTCGTCTCTCGGACAGACTCCTTGCTCGAGTTGGCCGTGGCGGATAGCGGAGGGGAGGGTTTCGTGGCAGGTCGTGCTATATTTGAAGTCTGTAGTACTTAGCACGGTTCTGTATGTGGCTGTTGGCATGGCAATGGTGCCACAGTGAGGGATGCGATAGCTGTGTGGAGCTTGATGGGGATAAACAAACGGGGAACTGACTTGTTTACGGGGGTCGCGCAGCGAAACTGAACGTGTTGGAATGGGCATGATCGTACAAGGTCATCAGGTGAGAATTGGCATAATGCATTGAGGTCAAGAAATGGGCTCTTTGTGGTTAACGGAGAGACAAGGAGGCTACCCATGTAGGAGCTGTGCGATCTTCCCCATACCCACTTTTCTATTCTACGCATCTCTTTTTCTCTCTTTTTCGATCTTGATCCTCCACGCTACTCCATATGCAATAAAATACAACAAAAATACAACTTGAATTAATTAAATTATTTAAAATAATTCACGGAGTTCAGAATATCCCAAATCCCCCAAGTTATATATATATAGAAAAGTCCATTTCACAAGTTGAGCCTCTTTACGCTTTTTCTGCCGTCTATCTACGAAATTGTGAAAAAACGACATCACACTATTCTTGTATACATACCTAAGTATACATCTATACATATATATAAATAATTAAGAGACAAAAAAAGAAAGGTCCTGCCCAGCATGCCGGGGGTTAGTGGTACTTCCAATGATTGCCACTAACCAGTGCTGCCATCAATTGAGACTACATATTCTGATAATAGCTCAGACCAGTTAGGGTTTATTATCTATTACAGGGAAATCGTTTGATACATCCCTAGGTCGATATTGTCTTGTTTGTTGAAAATCGAATGTGAATAAAACCCATATCTCCCGGTCGACGAGTATATACCCCTTGTAGGCAGCCTCTATCGACACTGAGCCAGCTGTCACTTTCCCGTCACTTTCCCATCAGGTCCCCCTCTCTGATCCGCCATTAACCTTTTAATGCTTATTGAGTTACGTTTATATATGCATATGAGTTGGAAGAATTATCAATTCCTTTCTTTAACGGAACTACCTAGGTGAGTGCGATCAACGCACTCACCGTCACCACCGTCACCGCCCGAGTTCACACATGCCAGATGGACAAGAAGGCATGACCATCCTTCTTGTACGCGGCAGTAACCCGAGCGGTGTCCAGGATCCCAACCTGCCAGATTTGGGATGCGTGGCCCAGGAGGCGGACACCATGCATGGTCGCCCGGTCCAGGAGATACACATCCCCCTCTTCCTTGCCCATCATGACAAACTTCTCCGAGATGGCCAGAGCAACGATCCCGTCATCCTCTTTGTAGTTGAGGATTACCCGCTTTCCACTGGTGACGTCCCACTTCACCACATATCCACGGTCATCTGCTGCGATCAAATCATCTCCCACCATATCCAGGTGGGTCAGCAGATCCGGACTAATGCTCTTGAACTTGCATTGACTATAATTATTGTTAGTTTCCAATTCTGAAATGACGATGTATCAGAATCAACATACCCAGCCACAAATCTTCCAGTGCCTGGCAGCCACACCTGGATCTCTGATTTTCCGCCGTTGGAGGTATCCGCGCTAGCAGTGACAATTGCATGGTCGTTCATGCATACGAACCGGACTCCCTTCTCGTGTCCTCGGAGCACATGCTTGCATTGGCCATTTTCGATATTCCAGACGCGAGCCTCCCGATCATCACCACCAGAGACAAGGTAGTTGTCGTGCAACTTGAGGCACAACACAGCACCTGTGTGTCCTTTGAGGGTCAGCGAGGCATTGTTGTCAGTGTCCTTGGTGAGGTCCCAGACACAAATGGTGCCATCACAGCTGCCGGCAACGATAATGTTCTTCTTCACCTCGATGCAAGAAATAGTGTCAGTAAGGCCATGGAGCCAACAGATGACACGCCTAATAGAAGTCAGTACTAATTGGCATAAAAGAAGCAAATGTTGGACACTCACCCGCATCGGATATTCCAAATTCGCAAAAAGCCACCACCGTGTCCAGTGACCAGTGCTTCGTGATCGTCCAATGAGGCCATGGCGCGGACAATGCAGTCGTTCAGAGCAGGAAAGCCCATCTTTAGGGTCCTGTGTGAACTTCTCGGCTCATGGTATGCAGTCAAATCCCTGTTTTCTCCAGCAGACATGTATTTCTGGTCCTGGCGAAGGAAGAGGTACACGCCGCATCGCAGCCATCCCACGATAGCAACTCCCTTCTTGATCATCTTTGTCTCATGGGCGACTATCCAAGGACGACACGGAGAGGCCAGAAACCATTGAGGTAGGTTGGACACGCCGGAATACCATATCCAGCCGGTTTCCAGCTTGAGGGCTTCGAGTCTAGTGGTCAATCCTGCGGCGAATGCAAAGGACCAGGAGTTACTAATATGGCACAGAAAATGTTAGTACAGATCAAAGCAGTGGAAATAATGGCGGTCGTGTCAGTATCTGCCTGAACAGGCCTCATTTCCATAGAACGCAGTCGGGTCATGTTACTTACACAGTATCGGGGGGGACAGAGCCTTCACTTGCGGGCTTTGAGTCCGGCTTTGACTTGGCAGCCTCCACGGTATCCAGTGGAATAGACGCTGCATTTCCGGCTTCGGGCCCTGAGTTTGGGTTGCTGGTGTACACGGTACCCAGTGGGCTAGAAGTCACGTTTCCGACTTCAGGCTCGGAGATGGAAATGATGGTATACATGGTATCCAGGGGGCCAGAAGCCACGCTTCCGTCTTCAAATCCCAAGCTTGACTTGCTGGTGTGCACGGTATCCAGTGGAATAGACGCCGCATTTCCGGCTTCGGGCCCTGAGTTTGGGTTGCTGGTGTACACGGTACCCAGTGGACTAGAAGTCACGCTTCCGACTTCAGGCTCCGCCATCGACTGGGTGGTATACACGGTATCCAGGGGACCAGAAGTCACGCTTCTGTCTTTAAGTCCCCAGCTTGACTTGCTGGCGTACACGGTATCCAGGAGTCCAGAAGTCACACTTCCAGATTCAGTATCTGGGAAGGACATGTACGCGTTGGTGGATGAGTGTTCTGGGTGAGTGTGTTCCAACCAGTTGATCAAGCCCGGTCTGTTGTAAGTCCTGCGGGCAGTGCCCATGTTCGGCCAAGTGGACTGCATGCTGCTCATGCTAGGTTGTGTGATGTACTCGTTCTCGCTGGGGTCAAAGTCGGAATCGGTATGACGCATGACTCCGGTGTGCATGGTGAAGTCAACGAGCTCCATGTTGACTAGAATGACGTCGGTATCCGACCACAAGTCAATAAGATCGACGGTCGGTCTCATCCGCATGATCTTCTTGTTTCGAACATGATAGCGGTCACCTTCCAACCACAGAGCAATCAAGTCGGTTGAGGAGCTGGTTTCGAAGCCATCGTTGTTGTCCGGAGGAACGGGGGAATGGCTATTCGAGTTCATGTCAATGGAGTCGACGTTAGTCACCACCTCGGCCGTCTCATCGTCCGAAGAAAACTCGATGAGATTGATGCTATTGGCAGGACGACGGACTGGAAGGTCCCATAGATCTTCGGGATCGATTCTCGGTTCAAGGGGGACCTTGATTTCCGTGTGAAGATCGATCAAATCGACCCTCGCAGCAGAACCAATTACACCAGTGTCCAACTTCAAATCAATGAAGTCGATGGCTAGCAGTAGGTTGTTGATGCCAGTGTCCGAGTTGAAGTTAGGGTTAGCCGAACGCGCGATCTCGCGGTCCGATCTCATAGCGCTCAAACGGACGTTTCGCTCAACGCGATTCGCCATCCTGCTGTATTCTTTTAATAGTGAAAATCGCTTTTTGATTATAGTACTTACTCAATGAAGCTTTCGAATTAGCAAAATTGATTCGGGGTGGGTGGTGCCGGCGGAGAGTTGGTATGGGTGTTGAAGTTCGAATGATGGACTGAAATACGATGTTAATAGCGCGCGTCGAGTCCAAAAGCGAAACTCTTGTTCTTTTTGAATTCGAGAGCCTAGCAATCGTTTTCACTTAATTAAATGTTTGCTTGGGTTCTTTACATCGCTCTCAGCACAGAGAAACCTTTCTAACGAGAGACTCTACCATTAAACATATTGCATCAATGTCGAGTATGTAAGTCTTATGGTTAGATACTGTTAGAAAGCATTCTGGTGTCAGTGGTACAATGATTCTTTGACCAAGGAGATCTACTAGCACATCACGATATGAGGAGTCTGATTACTAGAAATCCCTATTATACTCCAACTTTTAGGCCCGGAACACCGTTGAGGAGTTCATTATATAGCCGCTCTCCGCCGTTCATCAGGAGAAAATTACTGTTCTAATAGATGTTTCGTCTAAACACCTACTTTTATGGAAGCCAACTTGATACCGGGCTGGGATAGGCCAAAAGCGGAGCTACTGGTGATGTTGGCGAATGGATTGTTCACATGTGGCGAGCCTGTCTGCAAGAAGCGTTCATAGGTCTCATCAATAGTTAATATCAATAACTGGATTGTATCTGATGTCGTTGCCTATTGTACTTGCAATCAAACGTTATATCATTCCGACGTTATACGTGGAAATGCAGTTGTACATTTTTTGCTTCCCTCGCCATCAAAACATCTCTTTTTAGTATAGTGTATGTCGTTCAAGCGACAATTCCCCTATGTGCCTCGTGCGGGTATTAATATGCATACATCCATCTATGTCCACTGTAGTTAAATGGCTTATGTCATTAGCCCTAAGCCTGAAGGCCGGCCGGCTATCCTTATCTACTATGAATTGGATCTAAGCTCTACTAATATTGAGTTTGGAATGAGTTAAGTCCTGGTACAATGACCAAATTGCCAAACAGAGCTGACTTCATTGAGTAAAGACTTGGGCTAGCAAGGCACAATAAATCTTCATTGAATTCGTGGCTTTCATTGCAGATGGACATTTTCATCAATGGCTGTTCAGAAGCGGCAACACACTGCCTGAGTACCCTGGGGTTTGGCTAAAGAGACAGCCCAGACACTCCAATGCATATCCTGTAACCAAAAGCAACCTCTGCACCCCCTCAGTAGATGGTGCCTCACTTGCACTATATTTCTTTTTAGCAATCTGCTATCACATTTCACCATATCTGTTTCCAGAAAAAGAGCAGCGGCGGACTTACCACGTTTCCTTTGCAACTTCCTTGTCCCGGACAGCACAGGAATGTGCCACCGTTGCAGTATTTTCCCTTCTGGGAGCACCCAGCTCTCGCTTCCAGGTTTGGATCAGCTTCAGCCATTGCGAAGGCAGCCAGTGCAAGTAAAACAATGTAAAACTTCATGGTTGATTGATTTGAAAAGATTGTTCAAAGTTGTTTGCGAGGTTTGAAGAGATAATGCAGTGCTGAGGAATTGTTCCATAACCCGCGTGGGCATTGGGCTTTTTATAGAGCCCATGCTATCTTGATCTTTTTCACTGATACGAGAGAGATTGATTGTAGATCCTTTGGATTGGACGCCTAACATGCCAAAACTACGCTTTACTGGTTCGCAATTTGAGGTTACATTGCAGGATCAGATCAGTTGATACTGTAATGCCTTCGAAGTGAAACAGAAACAGCCCACACAACTTGCAAGTCTTTACTCAAACGGCCGAATGTCCGTGCAGATCGATCTTGGCATTTTTGGAATACGAGTGAGTATTCGTGAGGGATATCCCTAGATGATGGAGATCATGCACATAAGCCTGCACGAGTCGTGGGGGCGGAGGCCCACAGTAACGAAGGGATATCAATTGAACAACTGATATCATATTCAGAAATAGTATACAATGGAGATCACTATGTTATAAAAGGCAGGCACCTCACCTCCAATGTAGCTTAAGAAACAATCAACAATCATCACTCTATCAAATCCTCAAGACTCAATTCCCACCAGAAGCCCAACTACCTCCCGCCAAGCCCTTCAAAATGCGTTTCTCTATCTTGGCGCTTACAACTGTCATTGGTCTGGCACTTGCCTCACCCATTGAAGCCGACAAAGGAGCGGCGCTTTCTTCCCGGTCCAACAACTGCTTCACACTCTGCAAGATTGATGGTGGCGTAAGTCTATTCATTATGCTCGCATAACTTTGATTTCTGGCTAATACTATCAATTGCAATAGAGTGACCAGGGCTGTCTCGAGAAATGCAAGAACAGCTAGGAGCAACACGATGTCACGGAGAAAAGAGGGTAATACAAGGTTGACATCCAGAACGGCCCCGGGGATGCACGGGTGTCAGGGTCTCAGCCTGATTAGGCATTGACCAATTGAGCTTTATCTGTGGACACGTACGGGGCCAGAAGACTATGATTGGTTATATTGTGTTATGTCCTTAGTTATTTGACCGACGTGAAGTCGTTTGTCGTATCTAGCGGTCAAATGATGGGCGTCATCATAGTCTAGAGAGTCTGAAATGCCCCAGATTCAATTCTCATTTCTCATTTTCCCCTAAAACTCTAGCCTGCATTCATAGTTGCCTGAGCTGTCAGAAAGGCCATTAGACTAAGCTGTACTCCGTACGTAAGGAAAATCCGGGGTTGTTGCATGGGCTAGATAGAAACGGGAGATCGACGTGTCTGGGCTGCGTGGCCAAGTGCCCTGAAACATGTAGGGGAACCGAAACCGACACATCGTACCACCCAAGACTGAATGCTTGGCATATGCACATTCACTGTTTTGGTACTCCGTACTCAGTATCTATTGGCATAGCAGCGGCCTAAAATAGTTTGATAAGGATCGGTTATGTCATCAATGAATTGTCTCCTGCTTTTAGTACTCTCTTGGTGCTACCTAGATAACCTTGAAAGGCAATGTGACAGAAATCTGTAGTATATTAAAATAATACCTACATTATCGGGGAGTAGCCTGTGAGGATAATATATATCGTTGTAGTTAGTTGACTATGATTGTATGTTGTAGGTTAGATAACCCCTAGGAAGATAACCACTAGGGCATGGCTGCAGACCGACACCGGACCACCGAGATACGGACCGTGGACGGACCGTGAACCGACACCGACACACTACGCCCTATCTTGTTGGTCGACCTTATCATGATTAAATTCCAAAAATATCCTAACAATTACTTAGCATAATCGGCTATTTTACTGCATTTCTTCCCGATTGTCCCAATTAAAAAGCGAAGTGTCTGAATCCAGGGCATTAAACTTCATGTGATCGGCTCAAACGGAACCCCCGCCCGGTACAGACGGACCGTCCATTGGAATCAAGATACCTCTCAATTCACAGATAAATACCTATTTTAATCTTAGGATTCACAGAGATAGAAAGAAATAACAAGTCACAATTTCAAAATGGCCTCAAGCAACCCTTCATACCTTATCATTGGCGCAGGTGTCTTCGGTGTATCAACCGCCTACACCCTCATCCAGAAGTATCCCAATGCATCAGTAACTCTGGTTGATCGAGATGCATATGACGCCGAGTCCCGTGTGGCTGCATCATGGGATTGGAACAAGGTTGTCCGCGCCGATTACGACGACAAGGTCTACTGTAAACTTGCACTTGAAGCCCAAGAGATTTTCAAAACCGACCCTCTTTGGCAGCCACACTTTCACCAGACGGGCGTTTACTGGAATTGCCGCAGCGACTACGCACAGAATGTCATCGCAAACCACAAAGAACTCGGTCGCCACGATGATATCATTGCTCTCCCTGTTGCCGAAGCGAGAAAGCTTTATGGAGGAATCTTTGATAATGCCGATTACACCGGCGTCAAGGAGGTTCTCGTGAACAGGGCTAGTGGCTGGGCCGCGGCCGGAGATTCTCTTCGAGCAGTGACAAAACGATGCCTGGAATTGGGCGTCTCATACGTCACTGCACCCGTTACTAACCTTGAGTTCGATGGTCGTGGCTCTTGCACGGGTGTGAAGACACAATCTGGAGAGATCTTGTCAGCCACGCATGTCATCGTTGCTGCTGGAGCTTTCACACCGACATTGCTAGAGTGGAGTGCTGCGAAGAGCGGCAATTCTGGACTACGAGCTGGAGAGCGAATTCTTGCAGCTGGTATTACGACCGGAATGGCACAACTCAATGAAGAGCAATACGAAAAATTCAAAGATATGCCTGTTGGCTTCCAGGGTTACACACCGAATGAAGGTATGTTTTTCCCGGGTATACTTGCATGAGTGCCCACTAATAATTCCCTAGGAAAACCCTTCATTGGTACCATTCCCCCTACTAAAGACCGAGAGCTCAAGTGGTGGGGATCTAAGATCTTCACAAACACTCAAGAGGTACTCCCTGGTCATTACCTGTCTTCGCCTCCACCCACACATGACTACAATCAGTGGAAGGTTCCAGGACCTCTCAAGCAGGATATCGTAGAGGCCAGGAATCTGTGGTATGGGCCCGAAAGTGCCACATGGAAGATGACGAAGCACCGCATTTGCTGGTCAGTTCCCCCTGACCGCTGAACCTAACGATTGGCCTTTTTTTTTTTTAACATTCTATAGGGACGCTTTCACTACTACCTCTGACTTTATCATTTCGCCCCACTCTGCCTCCAAGGGACTATACATCGCCACTTGTGGTTCATTCCATGGATACAAGTTTTTCCCCGTGCTTGGAAAGTACATCACACAGATGCTGGAGGGAGAATTGGCGCCTGAATTGATTGAAAAGTGGGCGTGGGATCGACAGCGCCCTGACTCATCTGAGAACGTGGAGTACCCGAACTCTGAGATGAAGCATTTACTGGAACCTGCAGCGAAGTTATAGAGGGAATTGGATAGGCTACCTAGGCCAAATCAAGCATGGAGTTTGTGATATGATTGACGAGATACAATGTGATTTGAATTGATGTTACGAATGATTACTTTATATCATAATGAGATTGTTTGACATTAGATTTGCCCAAACCCTCTGATGTACCTCTTACATAACATCTGTTAATGGCAACCCAGTGGATTAAATAGCATTAGTGCGGCTACTGGCTGTGACATACTTAGGCGATTGTTTGCACTATCACAACTAGAAAGATCCGAAAGAACATCAAGAAGAACAACGTGGGTGATAAACAAAATAAGGCCTTTTATAGCTAGAAAATAATTTCTAAAGAGATCACCTACTTTGCACTGCAAATGATGGATTAAAATATGAATTCTATACTAAGTTTGGTCTACCGGTCCTAACAAGTGATCAAAGTAGAACATCACTTTTCATCGCAGCCAGGGCATTTAATATCACACAAGGCAGTTGCGAACCAGGAGAGGGAGCCATCTCCCTATCCCTATCCATACATCTCAAATCCATCGAGGAAACCTCACACCTTAAAGACTCCCACGACGAGGGAATGAAACACCATCCACTGCTGGGTGATCAGTGAACCAGGTCACCTTATCACCAGCACCCTGGTTAACCAAAGCCGAAGGAAGACTAGAGCCCTCCTCGAGATCAAAGATCTGCTTAAGGATCTCCTTCTTGCCGGCGCCCGTCGCAACGAAGGCAATGTTGAAAGCGTGGTTAACAACCGGCAGGGTAAGGGTGATGCGCTTGGGCGGGGGCTTGGGGGAATTTGTCTCAGCCGCAACCCAAGCATCCTTCTCGCGGAGCAAGGCATGGCCAGGGAAGAGCGAGCAGGTGTGACCATCGGGACCGCAGCCGAGGAGGATGAGATCGAAGGCGGGCAATTTAACACTGTCCTTGGCAGCAAACTCGCGCATCAGATCCTCTTGGTAGAGATCTGCGAGCTCCTGGGGATCGTCATCCTCAACGTGGTTCTTATCGATGGGGTAGATGACGGGTGAGCCGAGCTCGGCGGGGATCTTGGAGATGAGCTCATCGTTCAGCAGACGGTAGTTGCTATCCTCGTGATCGAGTGGTACGGCGCGCTCGTCGGCAAAGAAGATATGCCACTTGGAGAATTGCGCGGTATCTTCCGGGGAGCCGTTGCTAGTGGCGAGCAGGGCTTTGGCCAGGACGGCGGGCAGGGAGCCGCCGGAGACGGCAAGGCGGAAGGTGCCGTGTCGGGAAAGCGCGGAGTTCTGACAACGGAGGACGTAGCCTCGCAATTGCGTGGCTAGCTCATCGGAGTTGGCGAAGCTGTGAAGGTTGGGGTGTCCGGTGGCCATGGTGATATGTGGGTGGGACAAGAATGAGGAGGGGCAGGAGATATTTCGTTTTTTGGCGGGGCAACGGCCGAGATCTAAACGCTTTTTGGGCTTGGCCTAGGCTTGGAGATTTGGAGATTTGGAGATCAACAGTCTGTTAAGGTAGTAATTTAGGAAGAGAGAATAAGATCAAACCCGGATGGAGGAAATATGACGTCGCTGGCGAATCTAATCGTGTTCCACTTTATTCGTGGGAATCCATGGGATTTCGCCATAAGTGGGATGTTTCCAAAGGATCACCCAATGAGTTCATCCGAATATCCGCTTCTCAGGATTGCCACACCTTATTCGACTTCTCGGGCTTCAGATGTTCGTGGCCTAAACTGGGCCAGCTGCATGCCCAGGCCAGGTGCCCAGGTGCCCAGGTGATTCCATATTGTAATGGCTCTACTTAGGTAACCTTGGAATGTCAGCATCGTGCCGTCCGACATTTTAACCTTCGAGATAAGGAGATGAGAAAACTAATTTAAATCCGAACAATTTCAACAATTTAAATAGTTGGAGCATATATGAGATATGACATAGCCATATTAGCCATATTTAAAGATGAAGGATGAAAAATGAAAAATGAAAAATGAAAAATGAAAATATGCATCTCGAGATATTAAGAGGCATGAAGCCCAAGATGCCCACCTACGTAAACGTACATGATAGCCCTAGTCTCTCAAAATAGTCTTCCCCTTTCTGTTTTAGTTTTGTTTTAGATCAAGTGGGGATTAATTTGGTGATACTATGTATAGTGCCTCCTATATCCTCCCTTTTTGGATCAATCAAGAACAAAAACATAGTTGAAAAATGTATTCTCATTTTAAAAAACAAATTGCCAAGATGTTTTATCATGTCCGGTGTTAGGTAGCAACGTTATTGGAATGAGCGCATAAAACCTTGGAAGCAGCCCACATGTACGGAGTACGCCCATGCGGATGATCGGCAAGAGAAGGGGGAGATGGATCACTAGGTTAGGGAAGATTAGGGTAGAACAGGATTGGGAAAGCAATTTAAAAAGACCATTGGATGTTTCCTTGTTTCATATTCCGTATCCCTTTTTTCCCTTTAAATTCCTGTTTATCAAGTCGAATCATCATTGAAGAAGGAAAAAAAAAAAACCGGGGTAAACCGAGTAATCACGGGGCTCAACCGCTTAACCGGCTTCAACTCAAAAACATGCGATTCCCCCCCTTCTCCCCTTCAAATCCTCAGTCAAATCAGTCAAATTCAAACATGAGCTCTCCAGTACAAATCACTCCTCAACCTCAGACCGGTGGCGTTGCTCGTCCATCTGAGTCTACATCTCCACAGACTCTCGACATTGTCCGATGTTCCCGCTGCCAACAATCTCTCAGCCTAGGCCAATCAGGCGGTAGCATCGTTCAATTCGGTATGAACTCCTACTACTGCAGCCGCTGCGCAACCAAAGTCGGCTTCGGAGGGTGAATCGAGAACGATATACAAACCACGGTATACAAACCACGATATACAATACACCAAAACCAAACCAAAACCACAATAAACCGGAGGATCTGGGGAGTCTAGCGAGTGGTTGACCGGATCAACATCACAAACCGTCTTTCAAACCAACAAAAAATCGTCCCGTCGCAAGGGCACATGCGACTTCCTTTCCGAATGAGACACCATTCTATCCCGTCTCTTCGATCCTTTCCTTCGTTTCCGACTTCACGTCGGACCCCGATTCGAGAGTTTTTGTGTGATTTTGTGGGCTGTGCTGGCACAATTTGCTCTTCATTGATCGCAATTTAAGAATGCCGAGGTTCATGGAGCATTACACATGTTGGCTTCCACTGGACTTTCTTGGGGGTCTAAGACACCAAGGATGGTAGTCTAGGGATCGGTGGTTCTCGGCGCAAGAACCACGGGGGTCCGGACCGAGCTGCGCTTGGGATATCGCCGCATTTGGATCATTCCACTCGGTCGGCATTGATCGGATACAACATACCGAGTACAATTGTATGTTGTTGCATGTTGGATCATTGCGCCTTGATTTACCGACCACATGGGTTCTCTTGCAAGTTCACCTACTTTCATAAGCGGCAGTGCTGTTTACATTTGTTTTTTTTTTTTTCTTTCCCTTTCTATGCATTTTTGCATCATGTTATTGCGCTACTTGGAGCTGGTCTCATGTCTGGATTTCTCTTGCTCTTCAGCGATCGCCCACTGGATTCCTCATTACTTTCACCGCATTGTCTGATATCCCATTTTCATCCATTGAATTAGAACACTTCATTTCATCCTTCCTGAAATACAACATTTTAAAAATGATCCTTTTATATATATTGTGTAGAGTTGCTAGAAATTTAGTACACCCATTTTCAGATGAATCATATGTGATCACATGAGTAAACCTACACATCTGCATTCGGCATCCGGGGAATTCCAATCCCCGTGGATGAGAGGATACTTCATGATTGACATGAGAACCGAACATTACAGCATACTCAAAACCGTTTCAACGCTCCAATTCGCCAGTTAAAGAGGTCGTAGATATGCAGATTGGCCAGGTGATCTCCCCTGGGGCCCAGTGCTTTGGTCGCGGATCGCCATAGTACAGCCTCGTCTCACACCGCGTGAATCCCACATAACTTGGAATGTGCCTAGCTGTGTCGATGGTCATTTGTCTTGATTTTGTCTCGATGTACTTTCAACCGTCACACATGCCCTGTGGCATGTCCATTGTAGTTATTGGTCCCCCCTCAGACTCGCCCTGATTAAACGAAGGGCACACAGATGAAGATCTATTCGAAGATCTGTAAGACACTTTTGAAAAGTGCGTATTCTATGCGGAGTACTCCGTAGACCTGTACACTAGAGGTAGGATGTTAACTACATAGTATTCCACATACCTGAATCTGACTTGCTGGGACCTGCAGTGTGACTATCGAGGTCTACGTGTCCGTGCTCGTGAAGGTTGTACTCCGTGTTGCTTCGATGATAATCTTACTTTTGTAACTTTCCATCTATCTTTACTCTCCGTACTTTGTAGGTACTTGCAAAAAGGATTGAGAGTAAAATACGCATAGAAATCAATAGTCGATGTAATTCATCCAAAAAAGAAAAGGGGAAAAAAACCAATAAATGCAAGATATGACTGCTCATGATCCCGCGACCCGCTCTGATCGAAGATCCCTTTCTTAAAATCATTTCTTTTTTTCCTTTCATTTCCTTCCTTTCTGTCCATTCTTTTACTCTTTTTGCTTATTTTTGCAAGGGTTCCGATCTGACAATAGATACAGCCGCCAATGTGATGAATACAGGTCCACTCTGCATGTCTCTCTGCATGTCCGATCCGGATCTAGCGGTGTAACACATATTTCTGTATTAAGTCAGGTAAGCCCGTCTTTCCAAGTGATTTGCCTCTGTGTACGGGTATAGCCGGTATTGGATGATTATTATTTGAAATTTTAATAACAAAGGGGGAGGGGGGGAGGACATATTACATGTTAGAGTGGCCACTGATACAATGTCCTATAGTGGAACTATACCCGGAAGGTGGGACGGCAGAACCACTCTATTGCATTCTAATATTTTGGCAGAGCTGAGCTCATGAGAAAAATGACATATCTCAGCCTGAAGGAGAAAGTGAACTGCTTACTCTCTGATATGACTGGCTACTGCTCATCTTTGCTCGTCGCCATTCGTCCAGATGGTGCAGTATTCTGGGTCCCCCGTGATTTCCTACTTGCAAGCCATGAACATAGATTATTACTAGCCCTAAGAAATTAATTGACTATATCATATATACCATCATAAACTATTCTTGTGAAACCTCGACATATCCTCCCTTTTCTTGGTTGAAAGGCTTTATAATCCGCTCGACCTTCGTCCAGCTCGTGGAGGGGTTTATCTCTTCTGCAGTTTGTCGGTCAGACCAATTAGTTGACTTGCATTTATCCGACAGGGAGAAAAAAAGGGTATGCTTGTGCGATTTCATTTCCCAAGAAGGGCACCTTGATTGCACCTTGATGCTTCGTGATGTCGTTCTTATGTTCACAGCTCAAGCAGAGTGGGAATGCAAAGGTATCACCATATTTATATACCCTGAACTAACATGGATCTCTAACAGAGAGTACAATTGTCCAAGTTCTGGACTCAACCGAACACCTGGTCGGACAAGTTGAGCCCCGACTATTTCGCAACGCCGACGGACCGGGATACTTACAAGCATATCTATCCTTCCATTAATCCATACCTCTGAGCTAGTGCGCTTTCGGCACTAAAAAACTGGGGGTGTTTGAGATATCTGCAGCCATGCCTAGTCTCGGTCGTGATAAAGGTCGTTCCAGATCGCGCAGGTCGGATGACGAGTTTGTCATATTCCTTCAAGGCGTGAGTTTGATAGTTGAGTACGTCAAACGCGTTCGAGGACTAACAAGAATTCCAGATTCCACCTCATTGCCGCTGGCAAGAACTCAAGGATCTCGTGCGCCAAACTGCACTGCATATTCGCCAGGCCGTAGTGTACGATGATAGCCATGGATTCCCCACCGGACTCGGCCAAATCATCGTCAAAAATGAAGACGAAGCCTGGCGAACGTACCGTATGTATTTAGATACCCCATCCCTCTATTCTCCATCCTAACACCACCACAGATCGACTTTCAACAAGCGGATGGGACGGCCAGAGCCTGGTCGTCACACTCTCGCGGACCAGCACGCCCACCCAGCCCATTGCCGGACCTACCAGAAGTCCATCAATGATGCCCGCAAGCTACATCTCTGGCCAGTCCACGCCCCCATTAGTACATGGAAACATAGCAATGCCCCCATCACCGGTATCACCAGAGTGAGTTTACCACATACATCCTCGAGTAAGACAAATTCAAAAAGCTAATCCCCCACACCCAGATCTTCCCACCCCGCAACGCCACCATATCCATACCCAGAGTACGGCGTCATGATGGTACCCATACAAATACCACAAGGCTACATGCCCATGATGCCCGATCCCCACGCACAACCAATGCAGTGCTACCCCCCATCCCCAGTAATGAACGGCACAATGTACGATCCGCATTGGAACATGATGCCCGGCTACCAGATGTCCCCTCCACACCACATGCACCACATAAGCGGCGATAACCAACCCCAAAACTACTCGCACTACTACCCCGGCGCCAAAGCCACAAACTCCAGCTCTCCATACTTCTCCCCAGACCGACGAGCCATCACAATCGAGAACTTGAATTCGACTACTACATGCGCCGACCTAAAAACCCTTCTGCAGACAGCCGGCACTGTCCAGAAATGCAGCATAGTTGCCACGGACTCGGTCGATCAAAGTGGCCAGCTGCGCGGCTTGATTACCATGCAAACGGCAGAGGAAGCTCAGGGCGCTGTGACCATGTTCAATAATTTGAGTTTCATGGGGTCGCGGATTAGGGTCAAGGTTGATCGTGGCTCGCATCTTGCAAGGTCTGTTAGCTTTGATGGGGTTTGTGCTGGTTCGGACACCGCGGGCTCGGTGCCAGAAAATGGGGATACGTGTCAGTCGTGGGCTGATGAGATGACTGCGGAGGCTAATGCTGTTGATAATTGCAAGCCGTTGGTGATAGATGGGTCTGGGTTGAATAGGGCGGGTGAGGGTTTGTCGACTTCTGCGCCGACGTGATGGATGGAGTGGATATGTATTATTCGAGGTGGAAGATGGTCGATATTTCAACATACATACGTTCTATTCATACTTTGCCTTTGTAAGGCTTTGTCCGTTTCTTGCTTGATCGTGTCCGATGTAAATTCTTCTGTAAGTTCTAGACATCTAGATAATATTGGCTATAAATCCTATTATTAGATGCCAGAACGAAGAGATAGCCTATGATTGATCTTCATGGACAACTCTATGAGTGCCCGATCTCTTAGGCCCTCATTTGCTTCACCTTTAACTAAAGCTGTGCTTGTATCTCATATCAATTTCCCTAGATAAATATCTCTATTCACTCTTCCTTATTCCAAGACCGCACTAGATACAAATCCGTATAGGTATTCCTATGCGGACACAACTTCTTCCCAGACGTGAGGTGTTCCAATACTCTCAAATTCTCACAACCCATAGTCCAAGTGTTTGGTCTATCCTTATCATCTAAAGCCACTAACAGAGCCCCAACCAAAACCCCAATCATCCTCGGTCCAAAAGTCGGCTTGGCAGGACATTCAAAGGGTGAACATCCAAAAGGCATGAAAGCATCTCTTTGCGCGGATGTAGGAGCAGACCAGCGACCTGGGTTGAATCGCTCTGCATCAGAACCCCAGATATCAGATCTCAGATGACATCCTTCAATATCAGCGGATTTGATCTCATGGGATGTCCCCATACCCTGGTCCCACTGGTATGCTCGATGAATGTGTCTTGTAGGAACGTACAGTCGGAGGGATTCGCTGACTATGTGCTTTGCACTTGGTGAACTCTGAACACTTCTTGTATGACCTGTGTTGGATTTATTCCTGGATTCGGATCTGGGGCGACTAGACGGGCACACGGGGCCTGTCTCGAATTGGGGTTTGGTGGGCTTCTCCGCAAAAGCAACCATCGTCTCTCTCCAAGCAGGTACTTCTTTTCCAGTCGCGAACCTGATCTCTAGGAAGGCTCGCAATACAACACGCCACATTGTCTCAAAGGAAGGAAGAATAAGGTTCAACGGATTATCCTCTGGACGGTCATGTTTCCCGAAGATATTGACCAGCGACGTCTGAAGCAATACATCCTCTTCGAATCTGGGAATATCATCCTCAGTAGCCCTCACCTTAGAGGATATCCAGACTCGATTTATAGACTGCGCTAAGTTCAAGAGATTCTCATCACATGTCTGATCTTGTGTCTTTTGGTTGAAAAATAGCCATAGCACTACTTTCAATGAAAGCATTTGCGCCATACTGGCAATGTTGATCCGGTTGCGGTCGACACTGATCTTATTGCTCTTGAGCTTCTGCTCTCCTCCATGGCAACTGCTGCCGCAGCTATGATCCAGTCCAGGAAAGCCATGCTCGATCCAGTGGATAGTCGTGACTCTAGCGAACTCAGATACACTGTGCCACTGCTTTTCCGATAGATTGATCAAGGGTTTGACTTTCTCGACGAACATGCTGGCATGGGCACTATCTGTACGTGTGAAGGCGTTGTCGATTCCAAAGGCGATGGGAAGGTGTCTATTAGCCATCGCTTTTGCTTGATGTGGTGAGAGTATATTCGGTTGGTCTTTGCGTTTCAATACGCCGGCGATGATTAGCCGGCATATCGCTGGGTCGTTCGACGTGGAATGGGGGTTCTGCTTTTTGCCCCAAATCATAAAGAAAAGAAGGGCTATGGCGAGTGCCAGGGATGTCAGTAGAGCTGATAACATTTTCTCTGATTGATGGATTGAAGAATTAGCGATCAAGTACAGGGCTATACTTATAATGCAGACGATAAAGGAGTCTAAGTCATGTTTTTTGCATGGATGAAGATGTCTCGTTCGCTTTGTCTTGCTCGTCTCTTGTCTCTTTCTTGGGGAGGGGGGGGGTGAATAACGAATAACAAACAATCCTAGAAGTTGTGATGTGTTGTGATGTGTTGTGGTTTTGCGTGCATGAACATTTGCCTAATGAGGCAGTGACAACAATCCATGTGTTGTCTCCGAGAACGAGAGGAGAAGGAGGGGTTCTCCCTCTAACAAACGAACAGGGGAGCTGAGCAAAGGATTGGAATTCTGATGAGAATCATCTCTCAACTCAAGTGCATTCTCAAAAAGATAGCCAATATTTGTGTGTAATCATCAATTCATTCAAACAAGCATGTTATCTTAGGTGTTCGTCAATGTAAGTCTCATATCCCATCCCGACCATACCCAATCGTTGTGACCAATCATATCAAAAACGCCGCTATGAAACCCAGGTACTATGACATTTTCATTTCTCTTTCAGTCAGAGCCTCTCAGTGAGCACAGGCCATGTCTATTTCGCATGGCTAATCATCTCTGCATAAAGGTCCTCTGGGATCTTACGGACGAGGAGAACGGTCAAAGCAATGATCTCCTTTGCGTCAAGGGGAGGGAATGAGCGGAGAATTTTGTTTGGGCTATACTCAAGTCAGCTTTTGCTAAAGAAATCCAAAGAACAGGCTGTAGCTTACCTCGGACTCTCGAAAATAAGGTCTCGCATACGGATTAGTTGGGCGACAATGCACAGAATGTTTAGATGTGGTCCATATGCAAATAAGAAATCCCACAAATGCAATACCTCTGGCAATGGAGGCGTGCAGGCACAGAGTGTCAATACTGACGGGAATGCGTACAGCTCGGCGTGCATGCCCTTCGAGAACAAATATGCTGCAAGCTTAGGCTCAACGATCTCAAGGCATCGGTCGACTAAACGAAGACCCTTGTGGACTCCATCCATAGCACCGCGGATATAGCCTGGACATTCGCGTGTGACAAAGTAATGGAATAGAGCGAACGCTTCCACTTCACTACGGCCAGCATAGAGGAACGGCGCGCACAAGACATTCATGCCTTGGACGTACATGGCCGAATCAGTTGTAGGACTATGAGAGACCTTCTCTAACTCCCCACCAAAGGGGGACTCCTCTTCAATGCTAGGTGGTGCATTGCCTAGAAGCTCCATATCACGGCGCCGAGATGACGTCGGTCGAGACCGGGATTTTGGCCTGGAATCGTGGAGTTTCCATGCCACAGCGTTGAGCAGTCGAATTAAGCTTGCTTCCGTGACTCGCCGTTTGAAGAGAGGGTCTGTAGCTAATGTGCGGAAAGTATCATTGCGAATTTTGGCGTAAGCGGGAGAACGGCCGCGGTGGATAAGAGCAAGGTAGTCATCGGTTGGCATAGGAGGAATGTCGAGGAGGACCAGCCAGAGGTAGATTCGGTATGGGGACTATCATTGCGAGATGTTAGACATTAATCTTGCAAAACAGGCTGGGTACCTCTCACCATGCCATCTCCGTCAGCATCGACTCTGCTGGATAGGACGAGGTATTTGAGCTCTCGTAGCCCCTCATGGGGGTCTGAACTCTGTGGTCCATCGCGCAAAAAGTTTTCCAAAAGCGATCGCTTTATTCCAATTCCCGACCCTGTTTTCCGCGCGGGTCGTCTCTGAGTCACAGGTGGTGTTGCTGCAGCTTCACGAGAAGCCGCGTCGCTATTTGATCGAGCTCGGCGATGTGCGCGCGCTCGGGTTGCAGCACCAGGGGTTGCTGCTGATCCGGGGTCAGCTTCGTGAGAGCCAGATTGGCGAGATGCCTGGGTTTGGGCAATGAGTGCGCTAGAGGTTGACAGCACTTGGTGGGATTGGATCTTTCGGAGGGTTCGCATGGTTCGCGGCGATGCGGGTGTGTCGGGGCCCGGGACGCCGAGGGCCCAGGAGGGCTGAGGTTTAGCCATTTTTCTGCAATCAAGTCTTCATTAGAGGGCCACGATTAGACATCTTTAGGAAACCAGGTAAGATGAGCGTAGTTGAAGGGTGGAGTGTATCAGATCGCGGTGGCTGGAGCTTTTCTGCCGATGAAATGCGGAAGGCGTTAGCTCCGACGTATACTTCCACCTCCACTTTGACTATTTACCTTAGTTCACTCCTTTTATTGAAAATTTCCATTGGTAAATGAATAACTAATGGTACATGATCATTCATGGCAATATTTGTGTAGTCTGATCTTTGCTTCTACGGCCTTGGAATCTGTCAACTGCCAAAAACGTTATAAGACACAACCCCCAACGCCAACTCAATTGAAGCCCATATCCATGATAGAAGCTCATACATGTGCTGCATCTCCTTCACGCTTTGCATTATTTCCATTCTCTCCACCCATGACGCTGCGCACGAAGTCATGATACTGGAAAACCTCCCCCCTCTTACCCATTCCGCCTGACTTCGCTCCTCGACCAATAAATGCTGGGCGTCCTATAAACCCACTGAAGACTTCATCAATCTGTCTTTCAGTCAAGCGTTCCTCTCCGTCTTCTGGGGAGGTATGTAGTAGAGCATCACGTAATTCGGTGGCGTCGATTTGCCCGTTGTCATCGTCATCAAATGCGGCAAGAGCGTTGAGAAGCTCTTGTGAAGGCGACATTGACGCCATCAGCCCAGAAAGCGTATTTAAGAAGGTTGGGAAGTTCATAGTCTGGTCTGATCCTGGCGGGAAGAAGCGCGAGAGCGTAGAGGAGGACGAGTCTTGGCCTGTTCGAACACTCAAATTAGTTCCCCATGTCAATTTCAAAAGAAGGATATAGAGATTTTCTTCCTACCCAAAGTTGTCAACACATCAATCACATCATCTTTGTCCACAAGCCCGTCGTTATCCCGATCGAGAACCTGGAAAGCTTCTCTGATCTCCCTCACTTGTTGCGCCGATAGCTTTCCAGCCGCATCGCCAGCTGGGGCGGTAAAGCCACCGGTTCGTGTCCCAAAGATCGGGGACAAGCTGCCTGGCGACCGCGCTCCTTTCGTTGGGGAAGGAGGGAGCTCTCTGCCAAAGTTCGGCTGGGGAATAGGCCGCTCGCTCTTTGGAGAACGCGATTCACCATCCTCCACTGTATATGATTGATTGAGCTTGCTTGGAGATACCATAGGTGTATATGCCCGATTGGGAGAGCTCCCTGGGGTGCCTCCTGTGCGACTGGCTGAGGGTGGGGAGTTTGGAGTGGACGGGCGCCGGAACGGGGATGCCCTCGGCGACCCAAAGGATAAGGGCGATGGTTTGAATGTGGGGTTGTTGGCCTAGGACATTGTTGATTAGTCTTGGGTGGATATATCATCTCTCAAAAACATTACTTACCATGGTGAAAATCGCGTGTGAGCTGAATTATGAACTGTAGACAGCCTATGACGAAGGCTTGCTTATCGAAGTAAACAAACCCGGCACAACAACATAATTTTGCCACCGTCTCTCCCACCGCCCTATCCGATCTATATAAACACGCACATTTTTATCCTCTTGTGGTATATTGTATGATCCTTGCTTAGTTTTGATATATATAATCATACCTTACTAAATGGGGATATTAATTCTATCTATGGAGTATTCCGTACGGCATCCAAGTAAAATCCTGGCTGACTGGGTGTTGCATAACTTTGCATGCAGTGTACATAGATCTATGCATAACCGATCATACTCGTCATATCAACACTCGATGGCTTTCACAGATCCAACTATGAAGGATAATATGGGTGCAAACTAAGTCATATATTTGATATTTCTCCAAATATGTCATACTTATAGAGTACATTTAAGTATTTAACGACGCAAAGTTGCCTTTCACTATTCTATATTGGGTGACATCTAGAGGTGGCGAATATCTGTTTTTGTAGACGTTCTAGAACTGGAACAATCCGATGGGTCAGTTTTGTGGCAATAAAAATAGCAAGATCTACAATGTACGGTATAAAAGAGAAAGAGATTGCAATCTGATAGATCATCTTCCTCCCCGGGGCCATGTTCAACCCTGGAATGTTATATGGATCCCCTTATCGGCTTATCGTCTCTCCACTGTGGAGAAATTGTCCTTTTTCTTAACCCCTCTTAACCCCTGAACAGTTAATTCGAGATAATTAATTCAACTATTATTATCATTGGCCCTTGACGTTGTGCTCTTTGTGCCCCCCGGTATGCGACTCGATTTATAGCTTGGCTCGGAGTAATCCTCTATCCCCAACACCTCCAGAAGATGGCAACAACAATACCGTATCGACCGTCGAACGACTCCCTCTCCGCCTCAAATAACCGTCAAACAAATGGTCTTCCTCGGCTCTCGCCTGCGGCCTCCTTTCTCGGACGCTCGCCTAGCAGCTCACACGGCTCTTATCGAAGAACATCCACAGAACATGCGACCTCAAGCTTCAAGCCACGCCGCTGCAAAGCGCAGTACCCGCTCGATTCGCCGGAGCGCCATGTGGAATACATCCTAGTTGCGTCCTTCCATATTGATCGGGGCCCGATCATGGAGCACCAGTATCCCGCTGCAATCAGCGGTGACGAGAGCATGCTTGCAGAGCTGATGCTGCCGGATCAGACGCATGTGCGAAGTCAGGACTGGACTATGTTCTTCTTACACAAAGACACTAGTGGTGACGAAGAGACGGATTCAGCGGGAGGGAAGAAGAAAAGAAAGCGGAAATCACAATACCATGGAAACCAGGAGGGAGCCGATATTCAGGACGAGAACCTGGACGAGATCTCCGATGATCCCGACAGCAGCGATGACGAGGGTGGTGAAGGGCCACCCCTGATGTATGTGCTGAATCTTGTCAACACGAAGCAGGATAACACTGTCCGAAGGTAAGTCGTATTGTCTTGTCTGGGTGGGCGAGTGCTAACAGCGACCAGAGGCGCAGTAGTCAAGGCAATGGCAATCTGTACGCGACATTCATTCCTCCATATTTACAAAGTAAGCTACCGTGCTACTCCTAGCCCTGGCACCTAGACAATTCTGACTATTATACACAGCCTTTACTACTCCTAGCTCTAGAGGACTATTTCAAATCTCCATTCCCCGAAACTCTGGCATCCCTCTATGACGCGGTTAACGCCATGGACCTTTCGTTAATGCCGAAAATGTCGATACTCGAGCGCCATATCTTGCAATCTAGCAACACAAAGGATATGTTCCTAGAGAAATTCGAGCAAATGATCCGCCAGCGGGAAGAAGAAGAACTCCAGGATGGGGAATGTCCGCCGTCACCGAAGAAAATGAGCCGATACGCCCTGCCGCGGGATACCCATGAGTACGAGTCGAAAGTGGTCTACAATGACATCCCCATCCCTGTCAAAATTCCGACGGTGATTTGGCCGGAGACCGTTGGAGACTTCTCTCTCATCCAGCTCATTCAGACGTTCGCCGTGCCACATGCCACATCCCCACAGGCTTTCCCAGCGCATCCCCATTTGACAACCAGCGGGCCATTTACGCATCCCGTTATTGTTCTTGTTAACGCCATCCTTACCCAGAAGCGGGTGGTATTTCTAGGACACAACCGGCCATCGGGAGAAGTTGCAGAGGCAGTCCTCGCGGCTTGCGCTCTTGCATCTGGTGGCATTCTGCGTGGATTCACTCGACACGCATTCCCCTATACTGATCTGTCCAAGATCGACGATCTCCTCAAGGTACCTGGGTTTATTGCAGGTGTCACAAACCCTACATTTGCCAACCACCCTGAATGGTGGGACGTTTTGTGCGATCTCCCGACGGGTCGCATCAAGATTTCAAGTCACGTTGAACCTGCACCGGTAACCGAAGGGCTTCTGTTCTTCCAGCAGCAAAATTCCCTCCTACCCAACAATACATCCAACACGACCCACGACCCAACAGGCGACACATTATTCATAGAAGACATTCTCCGCAGCATCAGCCAACGCCACGGCGAGAATGCCGTCCGCGCAAAATGGCGCGCCTACATCACAAAATTCGTCCGCGTCGCCGCAGCCTTCGAAGAAGCAGTCTACGGCGCCTCAAACCTCTACATCATCGGCCCAGGTGAAGAACTCTCCCCAGACAGCCCAACGGGGCACCAAACCGACGCCTCAGACCCAACGACTCTCCGCGGGCACGGATATGTATGGACAGATGAAGCAGCCAAACAGCGCGAGCTCTCAGCCTCCGTCTCCCGAATCGAAGGCTGGCGCAATACCCGCGCCTACTACTCCTACATCCAAGACATAGCCGCAATGTACTTCCCCGCGCGCCCAATCCAACGCCCAGACATCCACCACCACCACGACCGTCTCCGCGCACTAAAACTCTCCCACCCCGAAGCCGCCTCCATCTACCTCGCTCTCTCCCACTCCGTCAAGGACTACGCTGGCATCTGCCAGCTCCTAACCGTCGCACCGGAGAACCAGGCTGGTCTCTTCTATGTCAGCATGGGCCTGTTCCACCCGGACCAGGCCGTCCGCGAAGCGACGGCCGATCTTCTCGATCGCATTGCCACACATCCAGCCGGCCGCCATTTCTGGACGCAGGTTGGTCGCTTTGCGAAGCTGGGGCATATCCGTGTCAAGCGGGAACGAGATGCTGCTACACAGAGTCCTATTTCCGGCGGCGGGTCGCCAGTTCCTACAAGTCCTGGGGCTAGCTTTGGAGGTGAGCCTCAGAGTCTTGTCGGTGTTGCTATGGGGGGTGGATCAAAGAGGAGGAGTTGATGAGATTTTGTGTTGGTCTTTTTTTATATAACATTTTTCTGTGAGCGTTTTTTGCTTTGTTGCTCTATTTGCCCGATTTTTCATATGATGACCTATGCCTACTCCAGCCATGATTTCAGATGCGGTTTGTTTGTCTTGTTTATATTTCATCTATTTATACTGGTGGATATGTGTGAATACTCATATACAATCTGGCGTCTAAGGAATATATTATTGACCTAGTCATCTTTGGCATTAGCGAATCTCGGAAGTTGAACAAAGACAATAGAAACGAGTCAAGTCAACCCCGATCCGATATGAGAGAAAATAAAGAAGAAAATAACAGAGTGAATAACTGCTACAGAGCGAAATATAGACAATATCACTAGAAATTAAATACAGATCAGAAGATCAAATCAGAAAGCCAAAAACACGCTCGCTGACATCAACCATGGCCATACCCAGCCGGGCAGACGGACCCCAAAGGATAAATAAGAAAAGAGTGTGTGCACAAAAACAAACCAAACAGAAACAGGATGATTCAGATCAAAACAGGCCTGTCAGCATGACACCGAGAACCGAAGCCATGACAGTGACAATTCCAAACTTAGGCAAGGGGACAGCAAGACCCGCCCCAGCCCTGACATCCGCCGATCCAACAGTGACATTAGTCGACACGAAGCCATCACCACAATGCGTATTGATAATCTTCGCCGATGGAAGATAAGTCGTATCAAGAGACTGGCCGTCCCGTCTCGCCCAGCTCGAAAAGATATCCATAGTCGCCTTCAGACACTTATTACAAGTCGGCACACCCCCGACAGTAAGCGGGGTTCCCAGCGGCATGAGATAGACACTGTAATCATCGGGTGCTGTTGAATTCGACACCGCGTCGACAAAGCAGTAATCCTTGGAAGAAGGGTTCGTGAGACAAGTGGCGCGGTACATTGGTTCGTAAGCGACGAGATCGCGATACGTGCCCTTGACGACGGAGTTCCCGTCGTCATAATCCTCGCCGCAGTTATCGGATTTGAGGAGATCGACTGCGAGAGCGGTCATGATGGATGCGCATTGTGTGACATTCGCCGAGCAGGATGTATCCAGGATGCGGGATGTTGCAGGTGCTGAACTGAGGGCGTGGAAGAAGGCGTTTGAGTTCTCGATGAGGAGGGAGATGGCGTTGCAGTCTGAGATTGTTGTGTTTGCGCGCCATTTTGTGAAGAAGTCGATGCACGTGGTTGAGTTGGCGAAGTTGTATGAGAGTGTGTCGAAGGGTTTGGGTATTCCTGTTGTGTTGGAGGCTGATGCTGTGACGATTGTTCGTCGGCATACTGTTGTTATTTCCTCTGGAATCCCGATCTCTCCATTTGGGTGCCAGGCCGATTGTGGCATGGCCAGGTCTGTGGGTTCCACTGATTGGGCCCATGTGGGTGATAGATAGAGAATAGTAATTAGGATTAGGAGGTTGTAGATATGGTAAAGACGGGACATTTTGGCGTTATGTCGACTTGAGATCGAGGGGGCATAAACGGTCAAAAGTATGGATTATTATGAGCAAGATCAAGGACAGTCTTTGTATGTTAAACGAGTGACAGAGATGTTGGTCGGCTAGGTTGGAAAACAAAGAAAGTGTTTATTCCAGCATTGTGAGACGAATTATGAATGAATGACGATAATCAGTAGTTCATTGAAAGGAATGGCTGAGGGAATTTCCCTCGGTGATGGTAAAGTTGACGATGGTGAAGTTGAAGTTGAGAAACGCACGAGGTAAGCCCCGTCAAACCATTACAGAAAAGGCTAAAATGAGACCTTTTTGGTTCTCATGCATTCGCATTGTAGTAGGCCAAGGCCGAGAGCCTGTTGCCAATGCGCTAGAGGACTCCGAAGTACCACTAAGACGGACTAGACCGTTCGGTGGAACTCAGTTCGGCTCAGGGGTGGGTGCTTTTCTCGGATATCTCTAGTGCGAGAGCAGTTAGAGCATACCCCGTATAGAGTAGATCCATTACCCAACCAAGTATGGAGTACGGAGTCAGCTGAGACCATTAGAAAAGAGATACTCAATATATCACTTCCTGTCTATTTTTGCTTTTTTCTCTGTTCTCGTCCGACTGGTCTAGATATCATCATTCGGAGACTGAATTATTCTGAACCCGAAGCATAAAGAATAATGAGATAGGAAAGTGAAACTTCGTCCGGTCAAGGGGATATTGTACCAGGTTTGTGGGAGATCATTCCGGGTTTGGGCGGGACTTTGATAGTTTGGGAGTAAATAACCTTGGGGATTTATAGCATAACTAGCATGACTGGCATAACTAGCATAACCTAATTGATTTTATAGTTCTATATCTAGATCACTACAGAGTACTACATATAGTATACACATATAATTAGTATTATTAAATGCAATCACATTCTTTACTCCGTACTCCGTACTCCGTCCAGGTCTCTCTCTGATAACGAACTCGGTTCTCGGAGCCAATTAGGTAAGAGGAATTTCGGTAAATCATCCCCCCGGACCCCCCCACACAGAGAGTCATACCAACATTGTACTTGATAGACTCTCTGTCAATTCAACTTAACTTGAAATTATCATGGATTCATTAGTACCTGAGACCAGAGTTCTGGCTGTTGCCAGCCATGTAAGTGAAATTGCCTACTCCTTCAGACCAGAAACTGACACTCCACTAGGTAGTCTACGGGTATGTGACAAGACTGATAACGCCGTTTATCAAATCTAGAAGACACCATTGGAGTCAATCAACTAACACATTCTCTCCAGCCATGTCGGAAACACAATGGCAACCTTTGTCATGCAATCCCTGGGCTGTGAAGTCGCCGCCTTGAACACTGTCCACTTCAGTACGTTCCAACCGGCCTTATCAATCCGAGCCCTGACTCACATGTAATTGCAGGTAACCACACTGGCTACCGCCAGTTCAAGGGAACTCGTGCCACTGCGCAGGAAATTTCAGACCTCTACCAGGGTCTGTGCCAGAGTAATCTTACAGACTTCGATGTCATGCTATCGGGCTACGCCCCGAGTGCAGCAGCCGTGGAATCAGTAGGCACTATCGGCATTGACCTGCAAGAGAAAGCAGAGAAGAAGCCCGGGTCATTTTTCTGGGGTAAGTCACACACTCGCTATCTCTCAAGTACAAACGCTGATATAATTATTAGTCTTGGACCCAGTCATGGGCGACCAAGGCCGACTATATGTCAACGACGATGTAGTCCCCGCATACAAGAAAATCATCCCCTTTGCGGATCTGATCTTGCCCAATCAATTCGAAGCCGAGTAAGTCATCCAAACTCTAACTTCTGACCCAGACTTGACCACTAATATAAATACTATAGGACCCTCTCCGGAATCAAAATAACTTCACTAGAAACCCTCGCTTCAGCAGTAACAGCCATCCACAGGATCTACTCAGTGCCCCATGTGATCATTACCTCAGTGCAACTCCTCAAGCTTTCCCAATCAGGCTCAACCCCACCCCCACCTGAGAACTTCCTAACAGTAATCGGTTCGACCACGCGCTCCGATGGGTCACCGCGATTATTCCGCGTCGACATCCCAGCGCTGGACTGCTTCTTCAGCGGGACGGGCGATATGTTCGCCGCACTGACCGTTGCGCGTTTAAGCGAGGCCGTTTCCGCAGTGGATGGCCTGCGCACGACCAAGTCGTGGGTTTCGCCCGACGATGTTGCAGCTACGGATCTGCCACTGGCTAGTGCGACTGTCAAGGTTCTGTCCAGTATGCATAGTGTCCTGGAGCGGACGCTGGAGAGTCGTGATGCGGAGCTGGCGGTTGCTGTGCCTGCACTGGATGGAGAGGCTTCGGCTGAGGAATTGCAGAAGAGGGATTATCTGCGCAGGACTAAGGCTGCAGAAGTCAGGCTTGTGAGGAATACGCAGGTTTTGCGGGATCCGAAGATTCTGTTTGAAGTGCAGGATTGGAAGAAGGAGGATCTTCCTAAGGACCTGCGCTAGTATTTGACTAGCGGTTTATATCTTTTGCATGTGGCATGATTAGATGATAGAAGGACTTCGGGAGGGCATTAGATGAAGCTGGGTCGGTGGCCATCTCTATATCAAAAACCGGTTCGGTCTGCACATAGATTTGATTATTGAATCAACCATGGAATATTTTTTGTATATTTTGTTCATTCAGTTACACATAATCTCGAATGCATGTAATCGTAACTAAGTTCTTTTGAAACCCAGAACCCATCTAATTTTCGTATGTCATCCTCCCAACTTTGTACTGAGGTATGGATGGCCCTTAAATGCCAGTGCTACCGAATCCACCGGCACCGCGGACACTCTCCTCCAACTCCTCGACAACGCTCACTTCAGGGGTGTAGATCTAGAAAAAGTCAGACACGTTCACACAACATACAGTATTAATAGCCGGAACTTACCCGCTCCAGAACCAGCTGGGCAACACGATCACCAACCTTGACCGGGAAGTCAACGTCAGAGTGGTTGAACAGAAGCACCTTGACCTCGCCTCGGTAGTCGGCATCAATGACACCAGCACCGGTGTCAATGAAGTGCTTAGCAGCAAGACCGCTACGGGGAGCAATGCGGCCGTCTATATTCATTATTAGTATTTCGTCCACTCTTAACCCCGCCTAGCCTCAACAAGCAGAGAGCTTCGCCAAAGTTCTCAATCTCAATTCCGATCACAGGATGTCACATACAAGTTCCCTCAGGCACAGCAATAGCAATGCCAGAATCAACGGCGGCCTTGCCCTTGGCGGGGATAACAGTCTCCTTCGCAGCGTAGATATCGTACCCAGCGGCAAAAGCTGAGCCGCGAGTCGGAGCCTGGGCAGACTCGACAAGCTTCTTAACAAGCAGCGGGGGCAGCGGCTGCTGGATGGAGGTGACAGCGGGGGCAGTCATTGTGTCTGGCTTTGAGCGTTTCGGTAGCGGGGAGGCAGGTAGTGAAGGCGGATTGTGCGCGGGGAGGGATTTCTTTTGGGGTGGCGGGGTGGTCTCTTTGGTCATGGTAATCACAAAAATGGGTGAAAGATCGAAGATCGAGAATCGAGTGGATAGAGGATAAAAATAATAGGGTCCCACAGTGAATTGGCTAACGCAAGTGACAAAGCGCCCCCTAGCTTCACAAAAATTGCGGTGAGCTCCACGGGTCCACGCTCGACTGCGCGTTTCACCGCTGGGACGCGCCGGGTGTTTGCTCTGTTTGTTTCCTCCCCGCTCGAGGGAGAGCGGTGACGCCGAGGAGTTGCTGGGGCCGAGGTCCCCCAGTCACGCCGAGGAGGTGCGGTGTTGGGGCATTTATTGCTTCCCTGTACATATTAATTTGAAACCGTCGTCAATTTACAAAAAAATACATACGCTTTCTGATCAGTCTTTTCCTCGTTTCATATCGACATCATGGCGGGAGAAGTGCGCCAGCCTATAGATATCCCCTCGTTGGAGAAGTACATTGACCAGAATGTGCCGGAGGTCAAGACTCCACTTGATGTGAAGCAGGCGAGTCTGGCCCCGTCAATCCAAAAAATCAGCAATATCAAACAACAAAACTAATATCCGGTTACTGTAGTTCGGCTTCGGTCAATCGAACCCTACCTATCTTCTTACTGCCGCCGATGGCAAGCAGGTCGTTCTGCGCAAGAAGCCCCCTGGCAAACTCCTCTCGAAGACGGCCCATAAAGTCGAGCGCGAGTACAAAATCATCCGGGCACTGGGGGATACAGATGTACCCGTTCCCAAAGCATACTGCCTATGCGAAGATGACAGCGTGATCGGAACGGCATTCTACATCATGGAGTTCCTAGACGGACGGCATTTCACCGACCCAGCGATGCCAGGCGTGAGCGGGGAGGAGAGGAAAGCACTGTACGTCAAACGATTGAGGCTCCAACACAACTCCCCTCACCCTAGCTAGTGACTCCACATTTACTGACAAGCCCCCAGCTGGAAGAATGCCGTACAAACCCTCGCGAAGTTCCACAGCGTAGACCCCAAAAGCGTCGGACTCGAAACCTTCGGCAAGCCGACAGGCTTCTTCGACCGTCAAGTCGCCACTTTCAAGACCATCTCCAAAGCACAGGCGGCCGTCGTCGACGCCGACACCAACGAACCAGTCGGCGAACTCCCCCACTTCAATGACATGGTGACTTTCTTCTCGCAGAAGAACACGCAACCACTTGACCGTGGCACACTCGTGCACGGAGACTACAAGATCGACAATATGATATTCCACAAGACAGAGCCGCGCGTGATTGGAATTCTAGATTGGGAAATGGCGACCGTAGGACACCCGCTCTCGGACTTCTGCAACCTCACCAGTCCGTACATAATGGACGGTGGGGACAGCCAACTGTCGCAGTTCACCCCGGGGGTTGTTCCAGGGTTACCGCGGCGCGAGGAGTGCGTTGGTTGGTACGCCGAGACGTCTGGGTACGAGACGAGCTCCGACGTGGCGTGGGGCGATGCGTTCTTTGCGTTCCGGGGCTCCGTGATTATGCAGGGCATTGCGGCCCGGTTCGCTGGGAGGCAGGCTAGTAGTGCTCGGGCTAGTGATTATGCGAAAAGGGCGAAACCGTTTGCTGAGGAGGCTTGGGAGAGGGTTAAGGTTGTTAAGAGGGCTTCTGAGGGGAAGTTGTAGTCTATTACAAAACACGCTCTGTAGAGAGTAGGGTATTATTTACATTACATGACCTTGTTTTTTCAATGTTGAAATTGTTGACAATGCTTCCGGGGAGGGTTTTGAGGGTTTCAGGGTTTCCAAGGTTGTTGGCATTGTATATACTCAGTCAGCATCGGAGGTCTGGGCTTTCACTTGTTTCTATTCTAGTGCCTGTCTATATGTAGATAGATGCATGTACTATGTAGCTTGATATGGCCCGATCTGAATCTAAATCGGGCTCTTCAGGTAGTATGTAAGGCTGGTCCAGAACCAACTCTCCACTTTGAAACAAGAAAAACCCCACTTGATGGACATGGACGAGTAGGTAAAGTAGCCTAGAAAAGTTAGCTTGAAGTACTTTTGGCACCTGACGTGTGGATGTAAGCACTTATCCCGATGGGGACATTCATTCGAGAATGTATGGTATAATATCCTGCGACCATATCACGTTTATGTACGCCATTTCACCCGATCACTACCGGGGGGGAAGTGAGGACTTGGGGATATGTAAAAAGGTAATGAATTGGGTATGAAAAATATACGAAGAACACAAAACATATATATACATATATACAAAATAGTAGGTATAGAGTGAAGATAGAAGATTGGATTTAGGTGAGACAGATTGGCAGATGTAGTAAGTTGTAAGGTTATAAGAAAAAAGAAAAGAACAGCGCGCCGAAAGGTGGAATACCGCATCGTGTAATGTCCGTTGAGCCCATCTGCGGGCAGACAGTATAGTAGTCGGGCAGTAGATTATGATTGGCCGCAAAAGAGGGGAAAAGGGTGAGGCTTTTTCTCGCCCTGCGGCTCTACGCGTAAGTGAGGCTGAGGGGGGGGGGGGGGGGGGANGGGGGTGAAGAACCCACTTGGGGGGGTTTTCCCTTGGTTTTCCAAGGATATAGATTTCAATAGCAGGTCTTGGTAGGATTAGATATACTCCGTACGGAGTACAAAATAGGCAGTTTCAAATTAACTAATTTATTATCTGCCATTACCCACACTATTCACTAGTGTGAGGGGATGGAGGGGGATGCGGCTGGGGATAATAAGGAGGATTTAGGAATTAGGGGTTTCGGATTGTGGCGGACTGGGTTGGACAGCACATCTATGCAGGTAGTATAGCGTAGTATTATAGTTATTATAGGGTATGATGTACGGAGTATACAGTGTACTATTTAGAATAATAGAACTATAGAATAGTAAGAAAGGTAATAAGAGATGTTTCCGTTAGTTAACGAGGCTCTGAAACAACGTGGGCCGGACGATCTTCTTACCGCAGACAGCGCGTTGACAACCAAACTGGGAAAGCCTGAAGATCCTTCGCGCTGGCGGCTTCGAGGCTCGTAGGTGGTTAGCGTGCCAGCGCAGACTGGAGTCTGACGTTGCAAATGATAGAGGCAAATAAAAAAAAAGGACCAAAAGGCGGGACAAAAAGAGGAAATGGGAAAGTGAACAGACCGTGTGGGCCCCCTCCCTTCGTGCAGCTTTCCTACCCGGGTATAACAGTGACTAGGGGAGTGGAGAGAGAGGGGAAACGACTTAGAGAAAGTTGCACCCCCCGGTTGTTGTCTCCGAGTTTAATGGTGGATGCCTGAATAGTAGAAAGTAGCGGTGGAGACTTTTTTTTTTCCTTCTTTTTTTTCCAGGTTTTTTCCTGTTTATGTGCGACCAGGGTTCAAATACTCCGAGTAGAGGGGAAATAAGTCAGGGGATCATGGTCAGGAAGTTGTAAAGTGAAGGTATACACAGAGTATACAAGATAGTTGAAGAGTGTAAATAACAAACTGAAAATAATAATAATAAAATTACACCAAATACACCAAATTCATCAAACCCGAATAATTATAGAACCTCGTTACAAAAGTCACGGTAAACTATGTAATTTATTATGTGGAGCCCCGAGTTGAGAGAGCCGCATGTCTTTCTTCTCTCTCTCTCACACCCCCCTCGAATATTCCTTGAACGTTTATTTTCCTTTTCTCTATTTCTCTTCTCTTTTTTTGGTTTTCTTTTTGTTTTCTTGCATCTGATACTGGCATTATACTGGTAGATATTGCTGGGTCCTAACTTGCACGTGTAGAACGTGGTATTATCTCACCCTTTAGACACCTGTTTTTTTTTTCCCCCGAAGCCTGCAACTTCTCCCTTAGTCTTTTTTTTTCTTTTCCTCCCTTGAGACAAGACTGTACAGTTTCCTACCTGCACACTTCCGGGTGATATCATTCATCTGCAGATGGCGCAGTGACAATCGGAGCTTTTGAGCCTCATCCCGGGACCCATTCACTACCCGCGTCCACCTTTCCGCTTGGGTAAGTGCACTTTCTGCAGACTTCGAAACTGAGTAGTCTAGAGCCTCGGATCTCTCTTTTCTTCTTTTCTTTTTTAGATCTACTTTTCTTCTCTTGTTTTCTTCTTTTCTTGTACTCTTGATTGTCTTGTTTCCTTACATTTGACCTGTTTGATTTTCGTTTTATTCTCTCCGGGTCATCCTGACCTGACAACCCCTCATCTCCCCATCTCGACGCTTTGCAGCAGAACTACGGGCAGTCGCATTGTGTCGGAATTGCGTTTATACTTTTCTATTCGATGCACTTAGATCGTCCTTTTTCGTTCATCCGATCATCGGAGTCACAATTACAATACCCCATCTCTAACCCTATCTCACAGGCTACTATCATCAGTTCTGATGTGTGATCGTCAATTCAATCTGTCAGACAAACAACAAGTATAAGGCGAGGTGCCCGATGCACCTGTCACTTTATTTATGACCTCCGCTATGTATGATTCGGATGATGCTTTTAATCGATCGCCTCCTATGGAGGCGATTAAACCCAATTATGGAAAGAGCGAAACACCGCCACCGTTTGTTTCGACTAGCGAAAAAGATGACGGTGCGGGTTCTCGTAAGCCCAACCAGCCGAAGCCTCAGCACTCAACCCTTCAGGGCGACCGAGTACTGATGGAACATCTAGCTCCGAAACACCATGAGATTGCCGCAGCGGCAAGCATGTCGACATTGGAACCATTATCTGGAAATCACAAAAATTTTAAACAACCACAAGACTTCGATCCCAGAGGGAGGTCAAATCCATACAGAGATGATCCTCCACGAAAGATATCGTTGGAACTCGAGACATACTCAGGCTCAGGCTTGGCCTCATTTAATGAGACTGAGACCAAACCCTTCCATAAGGAATTGGCCCCAATCCCGCTACAGCCTAAACAGCCAGAGGTTGAGGTTAAAAATGAGCTTCAAAGAGAGCGAGTTCCATCAATCAGTGTCCCGAGTCAACGATCTCCACAAGGGTTGCTCTATCTCAAAACCTCCTCGGAAATCAAGCCTGAATTTCCCCCCCTCCCATCACTAAAATTGACCCAACCACTCGCAAAATCTCCAGATAGCAGCAGCAATAAACAAACGCTGCCGTCCATCCAAAAAGCTCTCAGCGAATTGTCAGACTTCTGCCCACCAGTCAACACAATGCCATCACCCTTCGCCCTCTCCTCATGTCCCGGATCAACTACATCAGGGAACGATTCTCCATTCGACCGCACATTTCCGGGAAAGTTTTCCATCCCTCCAAGTCCTTTTTCTCACTTTTCGCCGGTGAGCGTAAAGGATTCATCTACCAACCCTTCTCCGGCCTCACACTCGTCCTTTTGGCGCAGAACACCCCAGTCTGAGATGCTGTCCGCCCACACCCCGTATGAGTCTTCCCCTATGACTGCCAAAAGTCCAGCGACCAGCTATCCTACGCCCACGGAACAGGTTGGCGTTGGTATGGGTGATCGGCATTCGCTCGCTGCGTCCACTCCCCAGGCTAATGGGGGGCCCGTGGGTATTTACAAGTGCACACATCATGGATGCACTGCTGCGCCCTTTCAAACTCAGTATCTCCTCAAGTAAGATAAAGAAAGACGACTCAAAAGTGAAACCCCACCTAATGGAATAGCAGCTCCCACGCAAACGTGCACTCACAAGACCGCCCACACTTCTGCCCAGTAGAGGGCTGTCCACGCGCACTTGGCGGAAAAGGCTTCAAGCGCAAGAATGAGATGATGCGCCATGGCCTCGTACACAATTCCCCAGGCTACGTCTGTCCTTTCTGCCCAGACCAGCAACACAAATACCCGCGACCCGACAATCTTCAACGGTTCGTGCTACGTCTGAGCCTCACTTAATCTGAAACCAGCTGAACTCATAATCACACAGACATGTCCGTGTACACCACGTCGACAAAAACAAAGATGATCCCATTCTCCGACAGGTTCTCGCGCAACGGCCGCTTGGTAGCGCCCGCGGGCGAAAACGAAGGACGAACAATACATGAACATTTAGCCTCTCTATTTTTTTTTTTCATCCTATTTTCTGTCTACATGCATTCTAACTCGTTTATTTCTTGCCCATGTTCTTTCTATCCCATCCGTTCCGACCGGCGTGTACCCTCTTCAACTCCTCGCCCTCTCCCGCATTCAGCCCTGTGTCCCCCGGGTGTTCCAGATTTCCAGATTAGCGCTTCAGTACGACATGCTAATCCCCCTTCGAGGCAACTTCGCAAATTTACGCATGACGAATTTCTCAGCTGTGATACCTTTCTGCTGTTTTTATTTTTATTTTGTTACCTTTGGGTACTTTTGTTTTGGTGCTTCCGCAATGATACCACCTGTCCACTGTTAGAAATTCATGATGTTACATGGGCCATTCGTTTAATAGGAGCGCTGTGAGTTCTTTTGTCTGTCACTTGTCAGTCTCCTTCTACTGTACTGGGTACATAATCACTACATCCCAGATGACGTGGTTGGTGGCTTGCTGGCCGCACTGAGCCTGCCGATTGTACGTGTAGATAGAGCAATCGGCATCGGTCTCAATTCTAGAGATAAGAGGGCGACGATTGGCGACTGCAAACAAGGTTTCGACAAAAGAAGCATACGGTAATCAAGTCCGAAGACGCCCGTAGTGGTTGCAGACTCTCGTCTAGGAAGCGATAACCATCAAAATTGTTAAACGTGAGAACCTGATTGTCCTCTACTTTCTTGAAGGCCAATGCAGAGAAGCCTGAATATGCCGGTCCTAAGATCCTCGCGGAATCCTAATTCAGTATACGACGACTTGGTAGCCCTGATCTAGACGAGCCTAATTATGCACCAATAACCCCTTCAACCATTTATAATGTCGATATATAAGTTCTGCGCCTGATCCTGTGGGGCTGCTACAACGACATTCCGGCCCAATATCCTCTCATGGGAATTCGTGTTCGCAGCCATCTCAACGGAATATTTCTGTGTCACCTATAATGATTTCGATATGGACGTATAACGGACAGTAATAAGACATGTGGTCTATTTAAGACATTGTGTAATGTAGTAGGGTTCATCAACTCCGGACAGGGGTTCCTACGCATGTTTTCAAGAATAGGGCGCTTAACAGGCTGTATTAAGAATTTTAAATTCTCCTACTATCCACTGGTTCCTTTCTGGGTTTGACTCTTTTGTTGAATCTATCTCGCTATTTTCTCGTGATCTTTGTTTCATTCACGTATTTGACTTGAGGTCACATATAGTTCGCCACTATGAGGCTATCCCTATTCAGGAGCAAGACGAAACCCGGTGGTCTAGAACACGATCTGTAAGATCTCGTGATAGAGAAATGATCTACCGAGCTAATGATGCCGAGGTACCCTACAGAAGGTGCAATTGGAATGAAGGTGCTATCTGATCCTTCAAATGCCGACTTGGAGTAAGTTTATCTCCTACTCTAAGAGAAAGCCCAAAAGTGGATGAGCCCAGAACCCCAAAAAAGTCACCCGAACTAAGATACACCCAACTAGCATTATTTTCGTTCATGGATTGACCGGCAACCGCGAAAAAACATGGACCCACGAAAACGGAACCCTATGGCCCCGAGATCTTCTTTCCAAGGATTTGTCCACGGCACGGATCATGACATTCGGCTATGATGTCGACATATTCAGTTTCACCTCGATTACCTTCTCGGATCGACTCTACGACCACAGCCAATCCCTAGCTTATGCAATAGTCAGCCAACGAATCGACTGCTCAAGCAGACCCATCCTATTCATCGCGCACAGTCTAGGCGGTCTGGTATGCCAGCAAGCCTTGGTCCTCAGTAACTCCATAGACGGACTATGGGCTATATCATCAAGTGCAATCGGCATAATCTTCATGGGCACACCGCAATATGGATCTTCGCTCGCTTTCTACCGCGAGAAACTCGCGAAAGGAATGAATATAGTCTACACTGCAAACAGGGATATGGTTGGAGCCCTCCATCCAGACTCGAACAATGTACAACTAGCTGGAAATGAGTTCCAGGCTATGCTCCGTCGGGGAGACCTCGCCCTTAAGGTCTTCTGTTTCTTCGAAGCGAAGGATATGAATGGTATAGTGGGCAAGATCGTTGAAGAGCACTCGGCTGTTCTGCGAGGCTATGAGAATGGCAGTATCGATGCTGATCATTACAACATAACCAAGTTCGGTAGTCACGGAGATGCTGGCTATGGGCTTGTTCGGTCGATCATTACCGGATGGCTTCATGAGTCTCGTGGTGGTGATGCTGCTGCAGACAAGGCTGCCATGGCCGCTTCTGTTTCTGGGAATCCTGCTTGGTTGGGATCGTGGACTCCAGGGAACTTTTACTTTAATGGGACTGCAAATTCGCAAATTTTTGCTCAGGGATATTATACGCATGGTGAGACCTTTGCCTTTGACTGATGGGGTATTTGCACGGAATATGCATGTGTTTCTTGCAATTTCTTGGTTTCAACTTTGTTGTACAAGCCCTATATCTATCAAAGCCAATAGCTACAGACAGAGTTTGTAATACGATACCTTTGTTCCTGAATGACTGGGGCCCATGCACGTTTCAAATAGAGTTAAGAGTTAAGTTTCAAGGCCAACCTTGGAATCTTGGAATACTGGGGTTCCCAAGGTTTCAGATATCTGACGAGTCAGTGATATTTCATTTTGAGAACAAACCTTTGGAATACTAATTGCATCATTCGTTCCCCCAAGCGAATAATATAATAACTAGTAGCAGTTCCTAGTTGCCCAGAGAGATTGCAGCTGCTCAAGTACGATTTAGTTTAGTATGTTGGCTGACCGTTCGTGTAGCCGTCACTGTATTGGCACTCGCCCGGGCGTCGGTGTAATACACTGGGCTTGGATCTGCCTCATGGCATCCTGAACGATGCTGATAACCTCCGCTGCATTATGTTCATCCTCTGGGCGCAGGTCTGTTGCCAGAGCCTGGTTGTGGTTGGGTTTCCTGCGAGGACCATGGTATGGTCGAATCTAGCTAAATTAGCTAAATTGCATAGCTAGTATCACTATCAAACCGAAGAAGATTATGGCGGGACCCCTCGTCGCATAAGTCTGGTCGTGACATAGAAAAGCTATACTTTGGATCATTGTCCTGGCTTTACATACAAACATCAAAAACCTTGTCACCTGGATCCCCTGGATATACTTGGTAGAAAAGGCAATCGGGCAATCATTGAGTTTATTTTTAATTCTGACTCTATACCTGCCCTTCGCCACTGTACATAGCCTCAACTAAGTAGTAGTGTACTTTTATAAGGATGGTTTGTTGGAAAATGTGCAATACTATTTTTTGATAGAAAACTATGAGTATCCTGCACTATTATTAGAATCCAGATCTAGGGGACATTGGCGTTTCATCTGGTCTATTTCTGCGTAAACGTCTCGGATACATAAGAAGATCACGGGCATTTAATTACACCGGCCTGTTTGTAATAATTCCTATTATCAGATATATGGTGATGCTAATCCGGCCTGAGGCTTTGTTTAGCGTTAAAATTAGATTCAAGCATTTTTAGTCGCTTCTTACGGCAGTAGACTACTCGGCAGTGCTCGAGTTTAATTCTAGCTGATCTTTACATCATCATGTATAGATATAGCATTGCTCAAACAGTGAAACAATTTATTTCTGTATGAGTTTCGAAATGTAAATCCTCGCTAAATAACAGAACCGTTCATTGTCTAAATCCGCCATGCCTTTTTCCGCTTTGCCTATCCATGTTATACACAAAAGAACCAACCAAAAGTCACATACAAGCAAGAAAGCAATAAACACCTAAGACCAAGTAAACATAAAACATAAAACATAAAACATAGCACCATCAAAGTCATCATAGGAATCCGACCGACAACTAAGCCCTTCCAGCCTCCCTCTTCCGATGGATCCTCCTCACATGGTCCTTCATATTGTCAACACGACTGAAGACCTTCCCACAGCCCTCCCACTCACAGAAGACACCAGGGTTATGCTTCGCCTCATGACGAGCACGGTCCTTCTTGCTGCTAAATCCATTCTTCGCAGACTGGGAACATCCCTCATGGCGACAGAAAAGGTACTTGCGGTGACGGTTGAAGTGTTTCCTCAGATCACAGCCTCGATGGAATACAGCTCGGGAGGAACATCCCGGGTGGGCGCAGCGCCAGGTGCCGTCGCCCATTGGGATACCGTAGTTGCTTAGGTCGCCCGAGTTGGAGCCGGAGCCGGAGCCGGAAGCCGAGCCTGGGGCGGCCGGTGGAGACTCTGGGTCGGAGATGGAGTGTGGTGGGGATGAGGAGATTGAGATTGTTGGAGCTGGGACGGATCGAGGAGCTGAGACGGATCGGGGGAGTGAAAAGAAGGCTTCTGGGACCTGATTAGATGAATGGGGTGGGCAGGAGAGCCACTGCTCGTTCGCAGTATCGAGCCGGTTGTTGAATGCTGGGTAAGGCTCAGGTTGGACTACTGCTGATGGCGGATAGTGCATAGAACCCATGTTTGAGAATGGCTGTGGCTGATAGAATTCCGCGGCTGGTTCGCTCTCAATGCACCATTTGTCGATTTGCTGCGGAGTATAACCCGACACGCCCGGGCCGCTCATGCCGAGCTGTAGAGATCCCGGGGGATAATAGCTTTGGATGAAGGGTGCTGTGGTGGGGCCGATGGAGGTCTCAAAGGAGGGCATGCGAGACGGGGTTGAGAGAATTTCTGCGTTAGACGCAGTGGACCATGCGTATTGAGAACCAATTGTGTCGGTGTCTATTGATCCTCTTCTTCCAGTGGAGTAGTTCCCCGGAGATAGGAAGACCCGCGGGTCTGGTTGGGTGTCCATAAAGTCCATCTGCTGAAGAGTGGAGATGTGAGAGTTGGATGGAGTGTTGGTGGGGATATTGGTCGGAACCCCAAGCTGTTGGGGCTCTGGGGATGCCGGGTAGCCAGCAATATCCGGCACAGTTCCGTAGGTACTCTTAGACTTCTGGCGAATAGGATACATGTTGCCGGCGTTGGGAATATTGGGAATGTAGACGATGTTTTGAAATGGTAGTTCTTCTGAGGATGAAAAAGAGAACTCCCAGTCGTAATAGTCGGCGCTGCCTTTCGGAGGAAACCGCTCTGGCATATCAAATGGTGTCTAGTATAAATTCGCTCTTATAAGGATGTATGAACAGGTGTCCATGCACTTAAAGATTGTTGCCCGATGAGACTGAGAAGCCAAAAGATTATAGAGTTTTGGCAGATTTAGAGCTGAACTTGTCTTTCAGACTAAGACGTAACGAGCAGTGGATTATTTATGAATTATTTATGGCCCATCTGAAGCCGAGGAGGCAGTGCTGTAATCTTGAACTTCTAGGCGTTCCGCAGAAGAAATTCAAACGTCGAAAATACTGCCATGCGTGATATAGAATGTTAAATATACTTCATACTGGCCATTTATGATTGGTAATACCTCGAATGAACATTTGATACCGTGCCCTTGATTTGGGGGGGGGAGGGGTTGACTCAATGTGATTCAGAATGGATGAATTCGGATGACTGGGGCCGGGGGTCTACTGGCTTCCCCATGAGAGATGATCTTCGGCCCAGTCATGACCTGCAGGTATTGGTTTCTCCTTGGTATAATTATGGGGCAAGCATTTTCAAAGTAGGGCTGAAAGATGACGACGTGAATCTGCACATTGCACATTGCACACCCCAAGGTTGGTTAGACCAACAGCAGATTATTTTACCAAAAGGTTAGGGTTTCATGAATTAACTATGATATTTGAAGGGTATGCATTGCGAGCTCGTATTATTGGGCAGTACAAAGCCATGACACGCCCAGAACGCCAGGGATGACCAGGACCGGTGTTGCGGTATTCTGTAAGATCTTTTTTGTCTCTTGTACATATTCGCCATAAACACGTGGAACTGCATAGCTCATATAGATTAAAGAGCCTCACTATGATGGCTACATAACACAAGAGATGCCCAAGTTATACACATAATCCCCGATTGCCACGTTGGTAATTTCCGATTCCTTGTCCATTATTTTAATTCCAAATTCCCGAGGTTGAGTCAGCTTGGAGGTAACGTTAAAGCAAAAGGTAGCATCTCCCACGTAGCGGGGGGATCTGACTGGTAGGGAGCTGGGATTGATATCTTCCAGATATCTTTCACTACAGGCCTGTTCAGTATTGTCGATCATTACGCAAATCAGGCATTGTAGACAGGAAGAAAGTGAGCTCATATAGAATCGGACAATCTGGACTTCAGGTTCAGCTATAGTGCCAGTGGTCCTTTGGCAGGACACCGACGGCTAGCACCGTCAGTGCATTGTGGATAGACCCTGTTCTATTTCATGATTGGCCAAATGGTCATCAATGTTTGCTTATCCCTTGAATCGACCACTCACATCGCTCGGCGTGGGCCAAATACGGGGGGCCGTTCAAAACAAGGAGCGGTGTCCCCTCCAATATGATCGACACGAGCCTCACTGTGGCTTCAAGCCTCTTATGCAGTCAGTGTGATGTGTGGTAACTATTGTATTGTGCGACAGGTTGTCTGGGAAGGTTCCTAGGAATAGCAAATGATGGCCTGAATGCTTCTAGAATGGCACGTCGTACATTGTAAGCTGGTTGTGAGACCGGATATATTCAGTCTAATAATAATATTCTATGGCGTGTCTCAGATCGGGAAAACACAGTATCGGATTCCTGATAGGACGGTCTATCATGTATCTGAATCGTGGCTTATACCAGACCCCCAAATTGTCGGATCACCAAGATCTCCCAGGGCTGAGATTTTTGGTAGTTCGAATTCCCGCCCCCACAATGTCTCAAATATCCAAGATCAGACTGCACTCCTTCTACAAAAATAGAGACGTATCCCCAATGTCTCAAATTTGGCCCCCATTATCGCTAGGTTCATCTCATGCATCTCCATGTGTGTCTTTGATCATACCCGATCTGGTACAGCATCATCTTGTTCCACCAAGAGGGGCGTTTGCTCGCTTGGACCAGGTGTTCCCTTCACGTCAGGGGTGTCTCGGTATAAGACATAGTGTTGGATGCAGAAGATCGCATCGAAAAAGATTGTCACGTTGCCCAGCAGTAGCTTGACTGGGTTGCCAGTGATACCGCTCCAGTCGCTTTGAAGGCTGGAGTCAAGCACCAGTTGAAGCATTGAAAGTATACCACCGGCCAAATCTAGAAGAATCGTTCCAATGTTCCATCCTACTGTAGATTGGCGCTTGTAGTTCAACGCCACCTGAGGCATATATTTCACAATGGTGATCAGAAGTTTGATGTATGAAAACGAGTAGATCTGGAAGGATGTTAGCTTTGTTTTGTAGTTTTCCCAATGGTTTAGAAGTTCATTAAAGCAGGGTAGCTCATTTTCACCTACCACGTCAATCCATGCCCAAGTAGAAGGATCATACCCTCCATCCGGGCTTTGCACCAACACAACCGCCATAACCAGCAGAGGAGTCAAGATAGAACCCCAAAATATCACTGCCATTGTCCAACTGATCCTTTGGAAGCGGGGAACGTGGAATCCCCAGATGAAAGGCCAGTACTGTGTGTACAGTATGACGGTCAATACCACCGCGTGGGCGGCAAATGCGAAATCGTTGAACCGGACGGTGGGGTCGATCGAGGCAGGGTGGCGGGCCGCATACTGTGATCGAATGACGGGCGAGAAGAGAAAAGCAGAGGTATATATCGCATAGCAGACAAAGCCCAGAGGGTTGATAGTGGATAAATCAATAGATAAGCCGACTGTGGACTTGCGGTTCCAGTTGGTGATGGGCTGTGGATAGAAAGACCCCGACCAGCAGAGCATACTGCGTTTGAGTTAGCCATGAATTCAAGTGTTGTATGAGATGTAACCTCGGAATCAACAAATAGACTTACTACGCCCATCCTAAAAAGCTAGGATAAATTAGTCAGTCATGTTCATAATGCCCGGTGGCATTCGGGTGCAAATAGGAGTTCACAAACCGTGATAAAGCATCAATAAATATCTCTAGTTGAGGAGTCATTTTGGATTGAGGCACTCATTCCAAAGTGTCAGGCGGGGAAGAAGAAGAGAAGGGGTAGATGTAACGATTTGTAACGATTCGAGCTTCATTCAGCACAGCACGCAATCTCGTGATAAGATCAGCTGAGGATAAGACGGATAAGATAAAAAGTCAACAGCCTAGCTGACTTAGGAAGGCGGTCGCGATGTCGATCCTGAGTCAGCGGCTGGTTGGCCCGGTAATGTGTTGTAGGAAAACAGATGACTGGGGGAATCGCTCAGCCTCTTGTTGTGATTCCACTCTGCCCGAGGTCCCTGTGCGACGTGCATTTTTCTATTTTATCTCAATTGCGTTGTCGGACGCGTTTCCAATTTCCTCCTAACCTCACATTCCGAATTTGTACGACTTTCTTTCCTTTCTCTTCTAGCGCTCCGCCTCGACTTCTACTCCACGACCCTCCCGTACCCTACTTAGATCTTGTGACACGGTCAATTTCGCGCCATAAACTGGTCAATATAGATTCAATAGGGTCGTCTGTCATCGGGCATTCCAGTTGAAATATCGATCCCGTTATCGCATGGTGCATTCCTCAGATCGGGAGATCTCGAAAGATCTCCTTCGGTAAATCCGACATTCCAGACTGAAGGTCGCATGGTCATTCAAGAATTATCCGCAAAATGTCAAACTCAGATCTCGCTGCCGCGGGGAGCAGCACGTATGCATCCAATACACTTCATGTTGGGGATGGCACCTGGGACTCTGGGCGGGATACCTTCCTGCTGCCCAATTTAATGGGTGTCAACTTTGAGACGATGCGATACAATGGTTAGTCCGACGCATCGACAATCTATTTTCTATGATGATGCATACCTTTTTAATCATATTACAATGACTGACACGTTACAGGCATGGGAAACCGTTTCAAGGACATGGCTGGGTACCATTCCATAATCATCGCGCACGGCGTCATTGCAACTATCGTTTTCTTGGGCATCGTCCCAACATCAATCTTCCTAATCCGATACTACTCCCGATGGAATCCTTACTGGGCATTCAAATTGCATGTTTGGTGCCAGGTACTTACCTTGCTCTTGACCACAGTCGTGTTTGTGCTTGGGTGGTTCGCCGTTGGGCCGAAAAGAAGCCTAACCAATCCCCATCATGGAATTGGCCTGGCAATTTATGTTTTGGTCATTTTCCAGGTGCTGTGGGGCTGGTTCCTGCACAAGAAGGAGAGCAAGAGACAGCGACTCCACGTTCCGTTGAAACTGGTGGTATGTGATACCCCAAGAAGGGATATGTGGGCTTTTCTAACATATCTTAGCTTCACCGGTGGCTGGGTCGGGCTCTTTTACTTCTCGGCATTGCCCAAATTCCACTGGGACTCACGCTCTACGGTTCGCCAAAGGTCCTGTTCATCTTATTCGCGGTGACAGCTTTCGGCTACTTGGTTCTTTACTTTATACTTTCCTACCGATATGATGTTGAAGGATATCACACGGGAAGTGACCACGGTGGTGGCCACAGTCAGTATACAGGACCTTCTGAAATCTCAGAGCACCATGACAATCACGCGGGAGCAGCCCTCGCCGCCGGCGCTGCGGGTGCTGGCTTGGCTTCGATGTTTCGACGACGTACAAGCAGTCGCCACCCAAGCCATGCTTACGGAGACTCTCGCACATCTATTTCTGATGAAAAATATTCTGATGAATCTTCCCACCATCATGGTGGTGGTGGAGGAAAAGGAGGTGGTGGTTTTGGCAAGAAACTACTCGAGATTGGTGCACTGGTTGGGGCTGGTCTCATGGCTAAGAAGTTCTGGGACCGTCGAAAGAAGCGAGAAGATGATGCCGAATCGGGTCGGTATAAACCTGCTCATTCACGCAGCACTAGCCACACGGATGAGTCTCTCAGCAGGATGGAAGATGGTCGACCGGAGCCGACTCATCATACGCCTCTTAATCGGCCACCAAGCCGTGCACCAAGCCGTGCACGAAGTAGGTCCCACAGCCCGGACTCGTCTTACTATTACAACAGCACGTATTTCACTGAGCCGCCTAAGCGAAACGCTTCTCATGGGATTAGAGATGCTGTTCTGGGTGCCGGTGCTTTTGCTGCCGTGAAGCGACTGTTCAGCCGCGGTAAAAAGGACGATGAAGAAAAACGGCGGCTGGAGGATATCAAGCGCCGAGAAGATGAGGACGAGGCGCTGCAGAGAGCAAACAGCAGACGGCGACCACAGGCGGGAGAAGGTTTATACCCACGAAGAAGAGCCAGTTCATACAGTGAAACCGATCTTACTGAAACCGATTTATCACGCCCCCCACCTCGACACACATCACATGGAGAATCTCTTCTTACTGCAGAGCCGCCTCTTGCCTCCGGTGCTATTCATAGCGTTGTATCAGATATGCCGCCTATGCCCCCGAGCCACCAGCAACTTTCTGGTGACTTGAGGTCTGAAGCTCCTCCCTCACGTCACTCTCTCGCCCATGGTGGAGCAGAATTTGCATCAGGTGCGGCAGCTGGCGCAGCACTAGACGCAGCCTCCCGTCGCAATCGAAGCAGCAGCCGGCGCCGAGGGGACGAGGTTGCCTCCCCGCCGGTATCCGTGAAAGTCAAAATGCACAATGACGGACGACATGTGACACTCCGTCGGCTGACCGAAGAAGAAGCGGCCGCGAGCCGCGAGGCCCGTCGCAGGGAGCGAAGAAACTCTCGACGTCGCAACAGCAGTGCGGGATCTTTGTCTGGCAACGAAGACGCCGGCTACGACCGCTGGCGTCGCGTCGAAGAGCTCGAACGTCGACAAGACGAGCAAATACGACGTGAGCAGGCTGCCGCTGCTTCTGCTGCTCATCTTGCCCCTCCACAGGCATCTATGGCTCCTTCAGGCAGCATGCCCACATCCTCATGGGGCGCACCCCCCTCCCAAGTCAGCCAAATGCCCCCAGCACCTCCCATACCTGCGCCTTCCACCCTCCCATATGGAGCAGGTAGTGTCACTTCACCTACATATACCGGTACTGAGATGAGCGGCTCATACGCGAACAATCGCCGCCGCAGACGTGCTGAACGAGCCCGGACCCGACAAGAGAGGCAGCAGCAGCACGGCGTGGAATTCACTTGATCATTTCCTCGGTACCGTCTAACATCCTCCGTTTTTCCTTTCTCTTGTGTCTACTACAGACCCAGCTTACGACATGTACAAAACGATTTATGTGCTTCAGAGCCGTGTTGATATAAATGATCCCCCTTGTCACGGTGCTATGTCCTTTTGATATGTTTTTCTTTTTCTTGAATACGCCTTTGAGGCGACGAAATGATTATTTTAGCTAGCTTTCTTCTTTCTCGTCTCTTCTTTTATGATGCCAGCGATTTAACGGATCTTTTATTGGGTTTTTGGTTGGCTTTTTTGCTGGTCTTCTTGTCTTCACCTTTGTGTGGTATTAAGGATAAGGTCCATATCTAGCGCAGTCAGTCTTAATTGAAAGAAAACAGAATAGATCAACATACCTACTGCATAAGTTCCTTAAAATAGTAGCTGTATAAGCGTTTTCGCCCCACATAGCGGCCATGGCTGTTTAGATTTGAGGGCCCAAGTATATATAGACGGCACTCGGGCCAATTAGATATATAGTTAGTATAAAGCACCACTAATCCTCCCTCGTTTACTAAGTGGTGCTCGAAATTATATATCCCAGGTATTTCTAGCCAAATAGCCCATAGATGCGAATCATCATCGACGTAGATGGTAAAAGAAGATAGGTCAAAATCAAAGCCTAAATAGCTAGTAATAGTGAGCAATGTGGACCTTGTAGCCCGTGATAGAAGAGCCTGATGTGGCCAGCAAGTTTAGCACTGTGCGGTTAAAAATAAAAGAAGAGGCTCACAGGCTGACAGGGAAAGGGCATAATCCCAGGTTAGTCTCATGATAGGCCCTGTAGAACTTACTCTCCCTCGAGATTTCTGCCCATGGTGACATATCCCGAAATAAAATTTCCTGGGTAGATGTGAATTAAATATGCACAGGCACAATGCAATGTATTATAGGGTTATGAACAGTGATGGGAGAGTAGGTCGGTTCCTAGGTATACCTTTAAACGCATATAATATAGAATAGTGCTATCTTCTAGAACGGCAGCTCTAACTCTATCTTGAGGTTATCTAAGAATGTAAATGCAAAAATAGACGGAGACTAATGCAGATTAGGTAGACCGAAAGAAGTATGGTTCAATGCGTGTGTAGTTCGGGGAATTTTATTCAATGGAGTCACGACCATGCAGCTCAGGGAAAGTAGCGATAGATGAATGCTAAGGATGAGAAGCTAGAAGAGCGAGATCGCGGAGTAAATAACGGAGTTACATGACGTGGCTCTACAAACCAACTCTCTCAACTACTCTAGGTGTCGATGCCAGCATATACACTTGACCTTATTATCAATAGTAGTGTCATCTGCTGAAAGAGGAAAAGAAACAGGACAAGAAGAATTATCCCTAGTAATACTTTGTGTTGGGAGGGAGGCCCTCCTGTTGATCTTCCTCCTAATTGCATCATTAGGGACAACAATCAAAGGCTCCACCTGCTCCGGACTGCCGGGTACGATGAGTATGTTTTTGGGATAAAGATCATTGTGGACGATCAAGGCGCTGTGCACTTGGACAAGTGCTTCCATCGCCTTAGATAGGCGCTCTTTCGAGTAGTTAACGCAATTTAGGGGCTCGGACCCTTCCAGGTATTCCAGTAAGATGGCGCTGGGATGGAACTTGTCATCCAAGAAACTGATGAGCCATGGTTGGTGACAGGAGGGATCAATCCGATCAATGGATCCATAGTATTTGGGGACAAGGCCGCTGTTACAGACGCCAAAGGAATGAAGATTGCTATAGGCCTTGGCTTCGTTACGGAAGCGGTTGAGGTCGCGACCATCTTCTGAAAATCCGGGATCACCATGGTCATGGAACTGCTATGTTAGTGCGACTCCTCGAGAAAGTCTAGGAACCCAGGATACACACCACCTTCAACGCATAGCGGTTGCCATGATGCTCTATCTCAAAGATTGACGAGGCCGGCGAGCTTCCAATCTCCGCTTTGAACTGCATAGAAGATAGATCTGGGTTGAGGAGAGGTGCACTCATGCTATATGGCTGGATTATGGTAAGGTTCAAAGGGGGTGCAAAGGAGGGTCTAAGCTAAATCAGGCTCTGAGTATGATGAATTTTGCAATTTTACAATGTAAATGCTCAAGAAACCAAGACTACGTGAATTTCTTATGCTAAAGCAAGGTGTTGAAGTGCTCAAGTGTCCCTTCATGTCTGAGCTGTCGAGTGGGGGCTTAGCGCTTAAGCACACTCACTCAGCAAAATACGAGGTTAGGTATGCATCAATCTATAGACGAGATACTTTCATTTTGAATTTCTCGTGTCTTTTTTTATCTGAAACTCAGAAGACTTTTTACTGAAAAATTGATAATCTACCTTGGTCGCAACTGCTTGTTGCCCATAACGGTGGTGGCAACTATATCCCCTGAAACCTGTACACATAGAAAATCCCTAGAAGTTAATTGAAATCCATAGGATCTGATTTACTTGAATTCGGTGAGAATTTATATTAGAAATGGGATGGGACAGTGTATGAATGGTTTCATTACTGAAATTGGTTTAATTCATATTCACGACTCGGCTTCAGCCACGAAAATGTATGAAGCAAAACAAGAATAAACTCATTTGCGCAACACAAAAAGATGCTCGTAGAGTATACTGCAAACAAACTGTGTTCAGAGAAAGTACGAACGGAATTCGCTGGTCAGCATGTCACCTCCATCGTGTTCAAACTCGATTGCTCACCACCCTAAGGGTGTAGCTCCTCAATCCGAATGGATGGGATCCGGATTCTACTGACAGCCGCAAGACACTCCACATTTGGACAACACAAAACTGATGGTGTTCATCAGTAGATACAGTAAAGCTCTGGCAAGGTAGAGCATTACAACGCCGGCCCGGGTGTTCGCCAATGGGTGTGTTGCAGCGAAGATGAAACTGAGAGGCAACAGTACAACTAGCGCAGGGATGATGAAGCAAATGTGGAATAGCAAGTCATCGATGATCGGGTAGCAATTGATGTGTTCGAATTCAGTGGGGAAATGCGGAGAAGGTTGTTGAGGGAGATCAGTCCGAGTGATTCGAAATCTGAAAGCATACTTTGGTGCTTTCTCGGCGGATGAACTAGGCGCAGGTCGGACTGTGTAAAGCGAAAATGAGACAGCAAGAAATGCAGGAAGGTTCTTCTCGGTGTTGCTCGCATTTTTCGAGGCATTCGCAACAGAAGTGTCGCCGACATTGCCGGCTCTCACTTCTCGAGCACCACTACTCAAGCCAACACGAGCGAGGAATGATGTTTGGCGTGTTTCACGATATGGCAAGCTGGAAAGGGACGAGCCACGCAAATCATGGTTCTTTGGGATGCGGGCTGTCAAAGACTGCGTTCTTTTCGCAGAGGTGTTGCATGGTGAGCTTTTTCGAGAGTTTGCGCGACTAGTGACCTTCCATTTCCGGTATTGTTTCTTCTGCCGATGCAAAGCAACATAATCCTGTCTTCTTTCAATCGAAGGTAGCGGACGGCGTATCGCACGAGAAGGCGGGGACAGAGAGGCTGGAGGAGAAAAGCGAACGCATCGCAGCAGTGAATCAGGATCACCAGATTTGTTGAAGTTGCCAGTGTTTATGCCTGGCTGATGATTAGACAGGGCAGCAACAGGGGATTTGATCCACTGTCGGCGGCCAACGGAAAGGCGTCGCAACTTTGAGGATTTGGGGGATTCGCCTTCATCGTCTTCACAAACAAAGCTTGCCTCTGGCGAATCTTGGAAGCAATCGAAATTGAATTCATCCGTCTGAGGTGCAGGACTCGTCCGTAGATTCTCCATTTTGTAGCAACGAAGGGACTCGGTATATTCCTCCGCGCTCTCTCGTTCGCTATTTGATGCAGGTGTGTTCTGGGGGTTCAATGGCTCGGCGAGGCCATCAAGAGTGTGATACTTATCCACAGCGACATCCAGCTCAATTCGAGGATATTTTCGGCTGGAACCGAAACCACGGAACGGCTCGCGAAGTTCGAGCATTCGGTGGGCTTGCTTTGGGCTTGCTTCTGCTTCTGTCTGGCCGCCTGGTTGTCTTTCGTCAGTTCCATCAAGCCCGGTGAACGGCGCAGAAAGAGGTGAAATGAAGCGCTCCGTAGGTGAGTCCGTCATCATCAGTCGAGTATCCACGATGCCAAGAGGGTCTGACTTGAGTGATTTGGTGAATACCATATCTGCAGAGTCAGCTGGAGATCAAAGTTGATGGTCGTTGAAGATGAAACGTTGGAGAGGAAACAAGGAAGGCATATGCTCAACTCCCAAGTGTGGAAGGTGCGCTCCCACCTCTACCGCATAAAATGTAGACAGAAGAAACAATATAATAAACAAGTATAATTAGAGAGAGCGAAAGGGAGAATTGCTATAATTCTACAAGTTCATGGTTGGGGCGATAATGGTTATGTACATCAAGTCTATTTGACGTGAGCCTGGAGGGTCTCGAGAACCTGTTGAAGAAAAAGTCAGTATTTAACCAGTCCAGTAGTCCCGGCGGGTTCATACCTCAAGCTCAATCTTGGCCTCAGCGATATCCTGCTCGCTGCCGCTGCCGGTGGCAATCTTCTGGGCCTCGGCGATCTGGGCGCGGATGGACTAGCAAGGAAGTTCTAGTTAGCTTGAGTCGCGAGGTCGCGAAGAAAAATAACCTACATCGGCGCTGAAATCCTCAAGGGGGAAACCCTCAACAGCGTTGATGCTGAGCTGGGAGTCGGGCTGGACGACGGCGAAGCCACCAGACACTATACAACACCATTGTTAGTTGATCAATCCCAATTGACAAGAGACCAGATTTGCGGAATGTCTGAGGGCGTGAGGATCGGACGTACGGAAGTACTGCTTGGTGGCACCGCTCTCCTCAATGATCTCAACGAGACCGGGCTGGAGCTGCTCAATGGCGGGAACGTGGTTGGCGAGGACACCCATGTCACCGGAGGCGGCGGGAATGTTGACCTGGGTACTGTGATCGCGGAGGTTGGTCAGTATTTAGGAAAAGGGCGCAGGCACCGTCGACGCGGGCGCAATTGGAAGAATAACATACACGCCAGTCGAGCGGTAGATGGTCTGTCAAGCAATTATCATGTCAGTACTTAGGCTATGATGTTGGGATGCCGGCCGGAGTTCATTCACGCACCTGGTGAGGCAGAGTCAGGGACAGCTTGATCTTGTCGGCGACGGCCTCAGCGTAACCACGGCGCTGGACGGGAGCACCGAGGAAAGAAGGGCGAGCCCGGAGGGCGGAGCGAGCGAAGCGGAAGGAGCTCATTTTGCAGTGGTGGATGACGTGCAAAGGCTGGTTTATCCCTCTTGAAGTTGCGTTGCAAAGGTCGAAGTCGGAACGCCGGTTGTTCCCTAGCGGCTGGTCACGTGGCACGGGAATTCAACGGCCGGACTATGGCCAGTACGCGCTGTGTTGACTACGGTCATTCTATGCATATTTTTATCTGAACACAAGGAGAAAACATATTGATTCGATCATTGCTCTATATATTCCAGCATTTGTCCATTTTGGAATCTAAATTCTTCCCAGAAGTCCGATTCCAAAGGCGAGATTTTGACGCTAAGAACAAGTTGTTCTGGAAAGTCTCACTGGTAATCGGGCACAACAGACTGTAACTGTGTACTCGACTTACCGAATTCATGTGGTCTCCAAAATCAAAGTCTTCTTCTTCCCCGTAGACAGCAGTACTTTCCAAGGTTACTTGCTGATGGGGAAGTATATATATCACGTGATGTGTATGGATCCAGGTCACGTGCATGTGAGTGGCAGAACCAAGTGGGAAAAAAGTCGCAGACTGAAGAACTGCTAAAAGCAAGCTAAAAAGACCCAATTTTGAATTATCTAGACCAGCCCAATGAAATATAATAGGATAAACTGCCATGTCAAAATATTATGACGCTGTCTAAGCCAATCTTGCAAGTAACAAGCCATCTAGTGACACTCTAGTATGTACACCGCCCGATAAGCGAGATCCCACAAACGGGACGAGCCCTAGCCGAGCCTCTTAGGCCTGACGTCCCTATTCCCACTCCTCTCCATCATCACACCGTCAATCAGAGACAACATCCGACAAGATGGCCAGTACGTTTTTACCACGATCCTATGACCCTCGCTCTCCTGCAAGCTGGCGAGAGAAAAAAAAAAAAGAGGCGATGTCGCTGACATGATTTTCACCCACAGAGTCCAAGAACGCGTCCCAGCACCACCGCAGCCAGAAGGCTCACCGTAACGGGTACGTCTACCCTTGAACTTGCTCGATCACCCTACGTTTACACTTGCCCGACATTTTTTAAATCGATTCAATGGATACGGTGGAAGAAGCGCTAGTTTACGAATGGTTTTATCCGGTGTGATAATTTTGAGGTCACGACTTGAATATTCGCTCGGGCAATATCTTCGAACTACTGCATTCAACCACCATCCGCTACACCATCTCAACCAGAACCGAATCGCTGATATATCTCCTCGAATAGTATCAAGAAGCCCAAGACCAACCGTTACCCTTCCCTCAACGGTGTCGACCCCAAGTTCCGCCGCAACCACCGTCACGCTCTCCACGGAACCATGAAGGCCCTTGTACGTTGACCACAACCCGGACCCAACACACAATACCCAATACCCACCACATGACACGGAATACTGACCCATTGAACAGAAGGAGCGCAAGGAGGGCAAGCGTGAGGTCGCATAGATTATGAACTCAGTCTTAAAAAAATGGGAAACATGAAATGCAACTCGAGCGTGCAAGAGGTCCAGAGAACATAACGTGTGCAATGATCAAGGACGGTCCGCTGTGTCGAATAGGCCTGGTTTTTGCTTATTCCTTGCGCGACAAACCTCGAGTTGTTTGATATCGAGAAATCAACAGGCTTAATTCGATGTGCACAGCGGTGCCATTTTCCCAAGCGGAATCTTTTCTGCTATATCCCTTTCTTTTCCATCCAGACTCGAGGGCTCGACTTCATCTGTGTTGCGGCCCTTGAGCTTAGTCTCTTCCCCCATTTTCCCCCCAAACCCCCGTCCGGCATATGTGTGTACAGCTGCGTGCTTTTCTCATGCGCGATTGCTGAAGGATTTTTTCTTAACGTGCCAAGAATAACCCCCAAGTCCCCGATTGCTATATATCCTGTCTTGATTCTTCTCGATCGTGACAGGGTTCATAGTCAGGGGGGCTACATCCCGTAAACAGTAACAGTTGTTTTTATACTTAGCCATATTCGAATCAATTCATTTACATCTACTTCCAATTCACTTTTACTTGTACTTCACGTCCATGATATATACATAACTAGATGCGCTGCCATAGATATTGAGTACAGTTACGAATCTCATACCTTCCAAACAACCAACTTTTTATCAAACCCACCACTGATAACCCATTCCTCCAAAACCGGCTCACCCTCTTCCTGGGGTACAGCAACATACCCCGACCAAACAGTCCTCACTTTAAAGCCCGGTTCATGACCACCTTTCAACGCAGCAATGATCTTCCCTGTCTTCGTCTCGATGCCACGAACCACACCATCATCTCCATTGACCCAGACCCCAGACCCATTTGGCCGCCATGCCACCTGCGGTGTGGAGTAAGCAGTTTGCGGGGCGAAGGTATTCGCCTGCACGAGGATAGCAGCATCCTCACGGTTCTGTAAATCCAGTGTTGCCAGTGCCTGAGATGCCTGTGTCACCGGGTCCTCTGAAGCGGGCGCTGTCTTCGTTGTGGGGAATAGCAGACGCACGATAATCACTTTCATATGGGGCAATGTCGACGTCGCTACAGCCAGGAGGCCCGGGTCGTTTGGACTGAGCGCCATATGGGCCGGTGAGAACGCAATCCAGGAATTAGAATGGGGTGCCAGGCTCTGCTGTCCAAGGAGGCGAGCTTCTCGCGGGGACTTCTCAGCAGTGGCTCCATCATTTTCACGAGGAGTATCGGTTTCTTCCGATGCTGCTTCCACCTGGTAGTAGTAGATATAAGTAGAGTCTCTGCGCGAGACGACAAGGAGCAGCTCGTTGGTGTCCACGTGTGGGACAAACAGCAGTGATTCCGGGTTTGAGTCGAGTTCAATGCGTGCAACCGGCTCGCCGATCTTGAGAGCTGATGCGTCTGCTTCGTCGGGGATATTAAGGCAATATAAGAAAACATGCTCGTCCCATCCAGCGGTGGCAACCCACCACTTGGAAGGATCAGTCTTGTCTTCGTAGGCTACCACCTTCACTGCGTACTTTGCATGATCCTTCCTGCTGTCCAGCGTTTGAGATCCATGGTGGAGGAGTAGCTGGCCGGACATGTTGGTCATGAGGATGTACCGGCCCTGGAGGATCGAGGTGAATGATAGAACGGGTGAACCAGAGAGGTCTGAGAATGATTTGATGGCCGTATTGCCTTCTGCTTTCTCGAGTAAATGGACTTGTCTGTCTGCACCCGTGGAGACGATATAAGACTGTGCTGATACACCGTCTGCGACGGCTTCATCAGCATCGCCACTGAGTTTCTGCCATTGCTCTACCGACGCAGCAAGGATATTTGATGATGTCGGTGTCTGAATGACAGCAGGTCTTGATGGTGCTAGGGGTCTGTCAGATAACAGAACAAAAGCAATTGCAGATAAAGCTTGACATGTAAAGCCGAGTCCCAATGACTTTCGACTGCCATACCAGAATAAAACTCACCTGGCTCACTCCATAAAGCAGACTGCTGGTTACCAGTGCCATATCTTTCAAAATTCACGGTTTGGTCATAAGTGCTCTTCTCTTCAACCAAGCCTTGGATGGTCCAGTTGTTGGTGTCGTCTCCCGAGCTCTGCCCCACGTCGGGAGCAAGGTCAGCCTCACGGAGAAAAGCTTTCAGTGTGTCGGAATAGTCATGGCTGCGCAGGAATCGAGCAACTATGGCACTTGATAGTGCATTTATTGTTGTGGAGGAAGGCATGCTTGAATCTGATCCCTCGGGGAGATTTTGGTTGGGGAGAGGTTAGTCGTGACGCACGGCATGCTTGTATATATCTTTTAATTCCACCTTCTATACGAAAGTCTACATCTTATATTCAGCTATTACTCGGAGATTACAGAAGATGTAGGTCACCCTTCACCAGAGCGGAGTATGTGTCATTATAAATATTTTATCAGACAAATCGATTTCTCTATCCCATTCGCAAAACGCCGGATATCCATCATGCTCCCGTGAAGCCCCCAACAATCAAGCAAATGCACATTTATGGACTTATCGCTTAGTTTATTCAGCTGAACATATCCTCAGCCCGACGCCGACGACCGCCACGCCCCTCTAGTGTATCGGAAAACAATTCCTTGCCAGCGTTGGCGCCCGCGATAGCGTTATTGTTGGTGTCACCGTCGAACTTGGAAGGGAACAGCTCGCGCACTGACGCACCCCTGCCTTTAATCGACATGCCGTTCGATGAACCGCCCCGGATTGCAAATCCTTGGTCCTCGGTGACTGCGGCTGCTCCACGAATGCGGGCGCCATTGTTGGTGGACTCAGGGAAGAGCTCAATGTTGCTGTGGCGTCTGTGTTCGGAGGTGCCCGGGATAGAAGAAGCGTCGAATGCATCTGACCGGCGATGGTGACTAGCCTTGCTAGGCAGCAATTCCTTCTTGATGTAGCTGGATGTGGTCTTGTTCGGGAAAAGCTCGCGGTTTCCTGACTCGCTCTCGCCCGCGCCCGCGCCTGGGAAAAGCTCTTTATCCTTGTTCTTACGGCCGTATCGAGGCGACCTTTCACGAAACCGCCTGCTGTTATCACGGCCACCTCGCTCAACTCGAAGTTCTTCCTCCAGCGTGTCCCGTCCCGGAGACGCACTGCGATTCCGGAGACGTCCACTTGACCGGCCCTCGTCCTCTGGGAACAGGTCTCTCTGGCCACGACCTCTGGGCTGTCCCCGGGCGCGCTCAGGCTCAGAGCCAACGTTATCATCGTACATGTCGGCGTTGAAGTGGTCGTCCTCGTCGCGGTCTCGGCGGCGTCGGTGCTCCCGGTCATCGAATCTGCGCCGCCTGTAATCCCCTTCACCTGCATCGTCGCTACGTCTCCTGTCCGCAAACTCTTGTCGCAGGCGTTCTCGGGGATCGTGCTCGGGGTGCATGAGATAGAAGCGACTCTTCTCATGAGCACGTGCTTGCTTGCGGTCCGACTTGACAGCCGATCGCACTTGGAGGACGGAATCAGGGTGGGTGGAGAGAAGTTTTGCCGATCGGAGACGCAGGGGTGGTAAGGTAGACGCGTCTTCTTCCTCGGCAACTTGGGTGAGAGCTGTGAGAGCTTGGAGGCCGATTTCGGCGGAAGAGAAGATGATGTTGGCGGATGTGTCATCGATCCATTCAACGCGCACTGGTTCCTGTCCAGAGCAGTCGCGAGCAAATTGTTTGATATTCTCTGTGGTCAATTCATCGACGCCGCGAACATGCACTTTTTCGTAGACCGCTTCATCGGTGAGGGGGTCGACGGTGGTTTCCAAGTTCGGAGTTGTTTCCTAGCACTCGACACATGTTAGTCGGCAATCGATTCCAACTCTCAAGGCAAAACAAAACACTCACCACCTGGATTGACTCGAACTCTGGCTCTGGTCCAAGGTCAAGGTCCATGTCGATGTCCATCTCCGCGGTAGGAGCGGAGGCGGCCCCGCTGAGTGCCATGATTCGGGCTTCGCTGGATGAATCGAAGGTTCAAATCAGGTCTAGCTAACAGTTCGAAAGGAACTGGCAATTGAGGGGATTGAGGGGATGGGGCTGAGCAATGCAAAGTGAAAACCGTGCCCGCTGGTAGCTTGCCTATCTGTCTAGATAAGGAATAGCGTCCTTTTTCCGGGGAACACCAGCAATATCAACTTCGAGCCTCCCGACGTCTAATTGGATATTATTGTTTTGACGCTGAGCCTGAGGACAAATTGCGAAAGAAACAACAGTTGTTAACTTTTATAGTTGACGGAGGTGTTTAAACAAAGAAGAATTGAAAGGACAAGAATGGTAACATGGTCTCGGGCATGTTGAATAGACACGGAAGTGCTATGTGGGCTTGCAACGGACACTAGAAAACCCCAATTGAGATGAAAATGGGAGTCAAATTTTGACTATAGCAATACATTAAATAAAGTTACTGTTTCAAGGAGGTCGGAACCATCTTCTGACGAAGCTAATAGCAATAATCTCCCAGTGTATATGATCTGCCTAGATCCTCGTCTTGTAGTTATGTGTAGGGTATCTATGGGTTGGGCCCATTACCGGAATGAGGCCATGAATGGAAATATACTCAGAGCATGGCATATGGTAGATTTCTAACAGAATCAAAAGTTCTGGAAAAGTAAGTACAACCTTGCTGTAACACATGTAGCCATTTCACATGGTCTGCAAAGTATTATCCGGGGAAGCCCTAAAGAACATCCGATTTCTTACAACATAGGGGCGCATGTTTCAGCTCGGACTGGATTGGGTGGTCTCATGGCCTCGTTTATCGTACATTTATTACCACATCCAGAGCTACATACATACATTTCTTAGTTAAGAGCATGTCTTAGTGAAGAGCAAGGTTGAACCCTACAAGCCCACAGCAATGATTTGCCACTGCTAGTAAGATCCATGCATGCTGTGAACATGGACGTCTCACCCATCAATGCAAATCAAAAAGGCTTGTAATAGTCTGTCATTCCACATGCAGTACCCAATTTCCGGACTCAGCCTCCACTAGAACCCTTTGTTTGATTCCAAGCTTTGTTTGAGCTAACATGCAAAGGCTCGGTTTTTTAATCCACGTTTCTAGTCTGAATCTTCTGTATTTACATTGCTAGTTTGGTCATACTAGCGTCCGGAATGAAAACAGCGAGCTATGCAGCTCTTCTTCCCTCCTGGCTTTCCCTGAACGTCTTCCGCCGCCCTCATTGGGCATATTATTACACAGTATTGGCTATATTATTGTTGCTCATCCTCAATAACATTTTAATTCACAGGCAAGACCATTGACCACACTTTTTCTAGTTTACCACCTGATGTAGAGCATCTAAGGCCCACTGTCATCCGCCCAGGAGATATAGCAACCTGTAGCTCGCGCGAAGCGAGGCCACAAGATGATACTGCACCACTTGCCCATGAACCTATTGGACTTGGGACATTGCATGACATCCGGTATGTTGTGAACTGATATCATAACCTGAATTTTTTTGGAGTAATTTTCTTGTCTTGTACACAATAGAGAGTTTCTATCGCGGCGGGACGTTGAATTTGCATGAGTCGGGCGTTTTCCTATACCCCGGAATCTATTTATATTACTCCAGCCATTCGTACTCCTCAACGGTGGTTAATTCAGCACAATAGAACATTTTCTGCTATTGTCTATCAAATGTCACTGTATGAACCGATATTATGTCTGTTGAGACGAGCTGAATTTCCTCTTTTGGAAGACACGGGCTTGTTCCCTTGCTCTATCTGGAAGGTCGACTTTAGGCTAAATTCGCGAAGGATGCTACCTATGATTTCGAGGCGTTTAAAGGCACGCATCTCCACCTCACTACCCCCGAGACCTCTCAGAAGTTCTCTAGGAAAAATGAGTGTTGTCACTGGTACTTCATGCAGTGGATCTGCGGTAATTCTCATCAGAAATAGCCATGGCACAGCATCAGGATTGCATGGTGAGGGGTACCATGTCATTCCCTTAATACTTAATGTCTAGCTGTTTGAGCTAGACCGCTCATCTGTTCAGCATAAATCGTCTCTTGTTTCCATCACAAATCAGCAGATTAAGCACCGCTAACAATCTTGTGTACCAAAATGCTCTACGCCGAAGACGACAAGCTCGTCTTCCGCTTCGACGACCACATCCTCTGGATCCAGCCATGGGGCGAGAATGCCTTCCGCGTGCGAGCAACAAGACAGGCGTCAATTCCAACGGAAGATTGGGCCCTCTCCTCCAAGCCATCCAGTCCAAGCCCAAGCATTGAGATATCCGCCGACCAAGAAGCGACTATCACCAACGGCAACATCAAAGCAACGGTGTCACGCAGAGGCAAGATTATTATTTATGATTCGAAGGGAAACAAACTCCTCGAGGAGTATGCCCGCCACCGCCAGGACCCAAAAGACCCCAAGTGCAGCGCGTTGACTGTCGAAGCTCGCGAGCTGCGTCCAATCCTGGGCGGCGACTACCACCTCACTATGCGATTCGAGTCTCTCGACCATAAAGAGAAGATTTTCGGCATGGGGCAGTATCAGCAGCCCTACCTGAACCTGAAAGGTACAGATCTTGAGCTGGCGCACCGTAACTCCCAGGCTAGTGTTCCTTTTGCGATTTCGTCGCTCGGCTATGGCTTCCTCTGGAATAACCCCGGCATCGGACGGGCGGTTCTGGGAACAAATGTCATGAGCTTCGAAGCGTACTCGACCAAGGCATTGGACTACTGGGTTGTGGCGGGTAACACCCCCGCGGAAATTGAAGAAGCATATGCCAAAGTGACAGGGTATGTTCCTATGATGCCCGAATATGGTCTTGGTTTCTGGCAGTGTAAACTCCGCTACACGAACCAGGAGCAGCTGCTCAATATCGCACGCGAGCACCGACGTCGCGAGATTCCTCTAGATTTGATCGTCATCGACTTCTTCCATTGGAAACATCAAGGAGAATGGAGCTTTGACCCGGAGTTCTGGCCAGATCCAGGTAAATTATAGTTCTATTTTTTATATCGCTTCCATATCAAGACCCACTAACAGACAATGCCTATTTTTAGAGGCCATGGTCAAGGAGCTCAAAGAGCTCAAAGTCGAGCTTATGGTTTCCATCTGGCCTACTGTCGAAAACGCATCCGAAAACTTCCCAGAAATGCTCGAGCAAGGACTTCTCATCCGCCACGATCGTGGGATGCGCGTAGCGATGCAATGCGACGGCGACATCACGCACTTCGACGCAACGAACCCGGCAGCACGAAAGTACATCTGGAGCAAAGCCAAGCAAAACTACTACGACATAGGCATCAAAACATTCTGGCTTGACGAAGCCGAGCCCGAGTACTCGATCTACGATTTCGACATCTACCGCTACCACGCCGGCAGCAACCTACAGATCGGAAACATCTACCCGAAAGAATACGCCCGGGGATTCTACGAAGGCATGACCGCAGAGGGTCAAACGAACATAGTCAACCTCCTGCGATGCGCATGGGCAGGCAGCCAGAAGTACGGAGCACTAGTGTGGAGCGGCGACATCGCATCGTCATGGAGCTCATTCCGCAACCAACTCGCAGCAGGTCTAAACATGGGTCTAGCTGGGATCCCGTGGTGGACGACAGATATCGGCGGCTTCCACGGCGGCAACCCAGACGACCCTGTGTTCCGCGAGCTGTTCACGAGATGGTTCCAGTGGGGAGCGTTCTGTCCGGTTATGCGGCTGCATGGTGACCGTGAGCCGAAGCCGGAGGGACAGCCGACGGCTAGCGGGGCAGATAATGAGATCTGGTCGTATGGAGATGAGGTTTATGAAATATGTAAACGGTATGTTGGGATTCGTGAGCAGCTTCGTGAGTACACGCGGGGGTTGATGCGGGAGGCTCATGAGAAGGGGACTCCTGTGATGAGGACTTTGTTTTATGAGTTCCCGTCGGATGAGCGGGCTTGGGAGGTTGAGACTCAGTATATGTTTGGATCGAAGTACCTGGTTGTGCCTGTGTTGGAGCCAGGCCAGCGCAAAATTAAGGTATATCTGCCGGGTGGGGTATCGTGGAAGCTCTGGGACGAGAAAGATATTGTGTATGAGGGCGGTCGCAATGTTGAGATCGAATGTCCGATCGAAAGTATGCCTGTCTTTTGCCGCCAGTAGATGGCGGACTTGGGATGGAAGACTTAGCAAGCCATATCTCGTTCCTCGGTCATACAATTCTGCTCTCCCTGCTACGTTGCCTCCAAAAGTACTGGGCCATGGTAAGCTGGCCCCCTCCTTTTCTATCTTCTCTCCTATTTGGCCATGATATCAGCAGTTCTCCACACACACAGAGGCCAAAGTACCCTGTCTCCTTCCAAGTTTGTACTAGATATAAAACATTTTACTGCGTATATGCATTCCTTCTGGCCAAGCCCCGGGGTCACCGTTGCCACCGTTGCCAAGTACTATCCTAGCAGCAACCTTGGATATTGCATCCCCCAACTGCATTAGGAAAGACTACCTCAATTTTACCAATTTGGGGCGATACAAAGCCCCTGAGGTTGAAGGTCGTTGAATACAAGCTCGTACGGAGCACTAGATATCAAACGTCCGATATTCCTTCTAGCCCAGCCGCCGTTGCCAAGAGTTTAGCCAATACTTTTATTTTATCTACCCCCTGAACCGTATTAGGAAGGACTACGTACAATTTGTCGCAACAAAAATCCCCTGAAGCTGCGAGTCGTGCATACAATTATATGTTGTACAAGCACAACAATAGATGCGCAAGGCAGCAATTCTACAACCTCCACTTATGCATAAAAGCCCATCGGAACTCAAATTCCCGATTACAAACAATGACACAACCGTTAGAAACCTTCCAGGACCCAAGAAAAAACCAACCCCCAAGAAAGAAAGAGTATCCCGAACCAGAAAGAGACTCGAAACAACCCTGTAATATGGAATATCGCCACGCGAGCCACAACCCCTAACAGAGCCTCGGAAACCCACACCGCTGCCACCGGAGCGCAATGCCCAAAAGGGGAAATGAAGGTATTAATCCATGGTTAGGGGGGATCGTAGCGCTGTAAATTGAGGCTTTGGCTTCGGGAAAGTCCCGAAGAACGGGGATTTGCAAAGCTCTCACCTTGGCCGCGGGTACGGTCAGGGGACGGGAAGCGCAAAAAAAAAAAAAAAAAAAAAAGGGCTCACGCGGCTGGGGAGCTATAGTGCGTTACCGACAGGCGGGTACCTTTCTGCGCTAGAGCTGACTTAGGGTTGGCGTTAGATTGGACCGAGATTCTCCGTAGGCCAATCAGGGGGCTGTATTATATCGGGCGGTTCTAGCGGTGTTGGTTGGTTTTTGTGTACGGAGTACGGAGTAGATTAAATCTATACTGTATACAACATACTCCGTAAGAAGTATTCCATATGTCAACAGAATTGATAGACATGCAATATAGAGAGATTGATAGTAGGTTTAATACAATACAATAATAGATCCATACCCAGACAGATGACAGGAGATATAGTAGATTATGTGTACAGAAGCAATACCGAAGTAACATTCAAAGTTCATTCCATGGACGCTAATATTTTGCCGAGGTCCAAATCACGATCTCGATCGCTCTTACGCACATGAATGGATCCCAAAATTGAGCCCGGCAAGACTGCTCTATAGGGCGACATGGCTGTCGATCACCAAAATCCAGCAGCTTGGTACTCTCAACGGCAGAACGAATATCCCATGGATCGAGTTGCTAACGTGCGCATGTTAAACCATGGAAGGAACGATCAAAAATATGAGTTGTGTATCTGGTATTACTGCTCCGTACATCGCGGTATACCCCTGATCCCTCCCTTCTCCTCCCATGGTAGTGCTATGTTTAATACCCACACTAGCCGAGCGAGTCTCCAACGGCTCGTTTCAGTTAAAAAACCGATCCGATCTGGTCTTGGCGCCGTTTTCCATTTTCGTCATCGTGTGCAGGTGCCGAGTGTTGGTCAGGGCAATGTTAGCGGCTTTCATTGAACTTTCTTTGTCTTTGTCTTGGAAGTAATTAGAGTTTCCTGGCTTTTGTTTTTCTTGGGACTCGGGTTTCTTTGTGTGTAATAAGTAAAACATCACCATCAATATCCCTACCAAGTGGGAATGTATCAAGTCAAGAAAAGATGGAAATATAGGAACTTGCAAATCGTAACTGCCATGAAAGCAAAGTTTTCTCCCGTGTGAGTTCCACGGTCCATCCCGTTTGGATCCACCGACAAAAAGCAGGTAAACACAGCCTTGGAAGTTAGTACGGTATGCAGCCAGACCGGGAACTAAGCTAAAGGATTCAAAATACATGGGAACCTGTAGATCCCTCACAATGTCAATGTTGAAGTACCAGGGTACCTATAACATACAAAAATAATATCACATGTAATCATGTCCTGATTCGCCGCACTACTGTTGTCCTATCACACAGAAAGTCAATCTACCGGATATGATTCGATAGATCCCAGTCGGAGAATGATACTCCGTACACAATAACCGATCACTTCGATAGTCTCGAGCTGAACAGAGCGCATGGTGTGTGGAAGCGAGATCTGGCTGGCTGTCACCATGTTCACTATAATAATAATAATGTGGAGCTGGAAATGAGACTTGGTATGTGAGTCTTGGAATAATTCGATATAATAGACGATCACAATTCGCCTAGAGTGGGAGGGCGGCGAAAAAGCCTAAAAGGGAAACAGACTCGAAACAGAGGGAAAACCGAGACAAAACCAGAACGAAAAAATAACATAAAATGGATAAAATGGTAAATGGTAAAACCTCACTGAAACGACACAAACCCGGTTATTACATGTACCATAACCCCCCCCCC